CGCGGCGTTTCCGCTCATGTTTGCGTTGGTTGCAGTGGGTGTGTTGCTGCTGCCGGCGCTACCATTCAGTGGCGACACGGAAGCAGGACGAGCATTGCTGGTGCTCGCGTTCGTGGGAATAGAAGAGGAGCCGACTACGACGGGGGAAGAAGAGCCCGTCGCAATCACCGGCGTCGCAGCGGCCTTGCCAGAAGCACCAGCTGCAGAAGCGTAGGATGCCGAGGAAGACGTCGCGTTGGAGTTCGCCGGGACGTTCTGCGTGGTAGCAGGGGAAGTCATAAGGAGAAAGACACGGCTCGGGGGGGGGACAAGACGAAAAGGCGGTGTCGAGAACGAGAGCGAAAGAGAAAGACACAAAGAATCAAGAAGAAGCAGAAGTAGGAAGAACAAGCAATCAAGCGTCTTCCAGTACCTGTTCAGCTATGATTTGTGATGGAAGCCGATCGTGCGATGAAAAAGCCGAGTCGTTCACGTCGAGCGATCGCGAGAGGATGGGCTTCTCGTTGATTTTCGCGGTGTCTCGACCGTCAAGGGAATGGATGTCGAGAGTGACGGAAAATTAAGTTCGCGGTTGGAGCGCAGAGAATGAACGGAAGTCGCGGCGACGAAAAAAGGGGGGAAAAAAAAGGTCGGTGGCGAGGAACGGGGCGTCGGTTCGCTGTTCTGTCTTCCTGTCGAAAGGAAACGAGAAACAAAGACGAGACGAGGACGTCGCGCTGGTCGATGAAGAAAACTAGAAAAGACGATTTGCGCCTCCACGCAAATTCAAGAATCCCAAAATAGGCCTCTTTGTTTTTTTTGCTGGATTTCTGTTGCCCCCGTACACGAACGGACGCAAGAGAAACGCAAAAAAAAAGGGTAAGAGGTGAAAATGAGGGACTGGGGGAAAGGGAAGAAAATACCACAGATGCGCGAAGCTGCGTTCTGTGATAATGTTTTCTTCTCGGGGGGGGGGGAGGGAATAAAGTTGTGATGGATTCACTTGAGGTCGTGAAAGGGGGAAGAAAAACGAAGAAGCGGCGAAGGCACGAGAAGGAGAAAAGGGAAGGGACAAATTTTTTTTGGAGGAAGGCGGGAGGCGAGTGGCCCGTTCTCCACCCAGAAAATCGTTGGAAGGGGAGGGAGAAGGTGCGAGTCCAGGTGGTGGGCAAGTGGTAATAGTGCTGGGTCGCGCCAGCGCGGGCGACCAATTTTTTATTTTTATTTTTTATTTTTAAATTTCTTGGGGTGCTATTATTTAGGTATTTTTTAGGCCCCTTCCCCCCATGCCCAATTTTTTTCCCTCGCGCACATGGGGGCACGGGCCATGCAAATCCTAGCGCAGCGATTAGGTTCACCCAAGAAAGGAAGGACGGACGCGAACGGACATAACAAGTCACTCCACCCGCACATTAGTAGGAAGGAGGTACTGAGTGCGGCCCTGGCTCCCTTATTCGCAAATGCTGTTTTCGAGCGCTGTAATACGTGCAATTATTACTGTGCTACGCAGTAGCCTCCAGCGGATATAAGCATTATCAGAGGATCTCGTACATTTTGTGTACTTTGTCAATTCGAGCAGCCATTCTTAGTAGCAGCATATACTGCTCTCGCTGACTGCTAGGATCATTCATTTTGTTCTTCAGGGCCGCAGTAGCACAGCATCGCTCTTCAGCCTACGATGTGTCTTCAGCTGCAGCCTCAGCCTCCGTCGTGCTCTGTAAGTTGCATATGTGAGAAATGCGACGAGGTGCAAACGAAGGTGGAAAAAACAAAGCGAATGGCCCTTCCGTGACGCGACTACAATTTAACGCTGTATGTCACAGAGCGGACAGCTGTCTCGGGGCGGACCAGTCAGCCAGAGCTCGGAGCGGTGGCAATCGGTTTGTGCGATTTGCAACCTGCGCTAGTCAAGAGCTTTCTTGTAAGAGAAGAACAGCCACAGACCAAGCCAGATGACTAGAGGACTGGCAGATACGAGTCACAATGGAGATTGGAGATTGGGAGGCTCAAGTCCGCGTTTGTAGGCAACAGCACACGCACAAGCTCCTGTCTCTGCGTCATAGCCATGAATGACCAAGATAAAACGCGGCACACTGCATCGTTGTTCACCACCGACCAACCCGACAGGTGGACAACGAACGACGTACAAACGTTAGACTACAATGTGTCCATCCCGTTACTCTGGACGAGTCCATGACTAACTCTGACGTGATGCAGCCAACATCTAGCGTGCGCAGGTCATGTTTGCATAATGCATATCCGCTGTGGAGGAGTGACGCTGGTCTTGACAAGGCAGGCGCTGCACGACAGAGGTGGAGTTACCATGACGCTGGGGAGGAGATGAGAAGCGGCGGAAAGGGACTGTATGGATTAGAAATGGGAGAAATGGGACGATCCCGGTTTACAAGGGGACAGATACAGAGGAATGCAGCATGCACTTAAGCGTGCAGTACGGTGCATTCCGAAGGACGACCGAAGAGGCAACTGCCCAGCGGGCACAGATGCAAGGCGAGAAGAACAGAACCAGGGAAAGAGCGACGAGCAAGACGAAAATGGCAGTGGGTGCATTTGAGCGTGGACAGTGTGGAAACGAGCAGGGAACAGGATGGGCCGCGTTGCTAGGCGGACAGGGGCCAACCGCGTTTTGGGTTTGGGCTGCCGGACGAGGCGCGTCAAGATGTTTTGGGGGCGGGCCCCTGCGCTGTAACTGTGCAGGCCTGTCAGTGCGGCGGGCAAGGAAAGTGCGACGGGTGGAACGAAAACGCGACATAAATATGGAAAGAGCGGTTCCGTCTGCGATATGTCGATTTTTTTGATTTTTTTTTCCCCCGCAAAAACCCAGTCTGCACAACGAGTGTACTCTCGCGTCCTCTTACGACTCCATCTCAAAATGGATAGACCGTGTTGGGAGGCGACATATGACTCGTCGTTTGGGTATTAAATTGTCAAGGCCTCGTCTTTTCTCGGTGTCTCGTGTCTGGGGATACTGGAGCCTGTTCGTGGCGCGTGTGCCTTCCCGGGCGTTGCTATTATTCCCACATTTAGGCCTCGCTGGGCCTTACAGGGGACTCTTCCAGGGCAGTTTAGGCCACTTTTATGACCTGTCGCACCACTTTAATTACAGCGCGCTGGGCAAAGGGGCAACCGCAATTCGGCTTCTTTTCTGTTCTTTTTTTGTGTGTGTGAATTAATTCCACCATGCGCCGCTCAAACAACGGGTTGTTCGTCCCATGTCTGCCGTTGTTTCGGTGACGGACGAGCCTGTTCAGTGGACAGCAGGAGATTTAAAAGAGTAAAAATAACCGTGTTACCGAGTTTCTTTTAATCTTCGTTTTACATATGTATTTTATTGGATTTATTTATTTTATTTATTTTCCCTTTCAATCCCTTCATCCTCGTTTCTTTGGGGTCCGCGTCTCGCCCCTTGAAACGGCTGCCAGTGCCTTGTATCTTCTGCAAGACATTGCGTCTGTCGGGACAAACCAGCGCAGATTCGACCATCTCCTCCTGTCTCGCCCCGTCTTGATATGTCGATATGCCTTGATTTCATGGCTGGGTGTTGTTCGTCTGATATTGCGTGTTTTACCCTGGGTATGATCATGGGTGGCAGTCTCCCTCGGTTCGGTAGCCGGTGCGTTCCTGACTTGCAGTGCATGTGTGTGCGTGGTGCATCGCATCTGTGCATCCTGGACTTGGGCGCAGGGATGGTATACAAATTGGGTACTGGTCAATTTTCTTTTTCTTTTTTCTTTCATCCTTCTTTTCGGTGCCGCGCTCCTTGTTTGCTTTTGCTTCATTTCTTTTGTCTCCCTTGCCAGCCACCTGTCAAATAGCAGAGTTACAACGTAAATAACAAAGGTGCCCCGTACGTCTCTGTTTTAAATGCAATATCACTCCGGCTATACTCTGCCATATTGTGTTTGGCTGCGGTCGATCCGGGGAACCAGACACAACTGGCCGTCGACTCTCTCAACGGTGCGGCTGATTCAATAATTATTCAGTACGGAGTACCAGGACAATGTCCCGTCGATGCAATAGATCCATAGTCTCCAGCCACCTTTAGATTTTTTTTCTCTCTTGTTTTGTAATTTTTCGTTCATTCTCTAGCCAGTGCTTCATCCCACATACATACGCAGTCTTCCGCTTTCCTTCTCGCCGGGTTTCTTCCCTTTTTTAATTACGACAACACCTCCGTTTGTTTGCAGGAATAAATTGACTGTATGGTGTGGGTAGAAAAGCGGGTAGAAGAGCCGGGCCTGTGTAAACAAGACAAAAAATATAATTGCATAGCTGTCGAGCCGACATGAGTCTTCATCCTCTTTCTGGATCTTGTGTGCCCTTCCGGCCGTATTACTCCGTATCGAGACGTTCAATGTCGTTTGCTGCCTAAACAATGGTATCTTCGCAACTGTTGGCTCGTTTGGTAGCATTCATCTTTCTCATTTTCCTTTTCCGGCCCTTTTACTGTATTTATAGTAGCCCTGTTGGTTTGCCAAATCGCCACAGAAGGAACGAAAACAGCGTCTTTGCTATCGCTTGCTATTGTAACACTTCGAAAAAAAAGGGTAGGTAGAGCAACAAAGTGTGTGGCTCGTTGGTGGCTCATCGTCTTCAGCTTCTCGTTCATCTGGTATTATTTTTTGTTCCTTTCTGCAGAGGATTTTTTTTATAACAAAAGTTTGTGTGCGCAGCACAATATTGCCCCAATGGGCATGGGCGTTCTATGTCATGTTTGCTTTTGCTAAGGCGAATATGCAACGTCCTGCAGACACTTCCCCAGTCATATTGAATCGGTGAGGCATTTCGTGAATGCTGCATTCTGCAGTCAAACGGCTGCCGAGGTGAATTACTCTATTCAGAACCTCCTCGAGTACGCCACAATGCTCAAGAGTGAGAGACGTAAGGAAATAACGACAAAAGTCAAAATGAAAAAAAATAATGTTGGACAGTAAATTAGTTCTGCTCGCCTCGCACACTCTGTTTCTATATACGACAACTCCCAACTCCTCCATGCCCCCACCTCATTTCTTGTCGTGTCCACTCTCTGGATCCGGCCCGTCGTCATCGCCGGCTTCTTCACCGCGCGGATCGTCGTCGTCGTCGTCGTCGTCTCTACCGGGCAGCGCCACAATATCCTCGCCGTCGTCCTCCCGGGCTGGCGCTGGCAGCAGGTCAAATCCTTCAGGGCCCTGGCCGTGCGCATCGCCGTCTGTAGAATTTGCCGCCGCCGTCTTGGCTGCTTCCGCCTGCATCTGCTGCAACCTTGTCTGGGTCATCTCAAAGACGTACTGCCCTAGGTGCTCTAGTCCTTCCATGGTGACCTCGTTGGCCAGCGTACCGCCGGCAGCTGCTTTGTTCTCGTCGGCAATGACGCGCTTCGACGGCCATAGCTCGCCCGTGACAAGCGCAAGTTTGTCGGGTCGCTGCAGCAGGATCTGGAACGCCTCGCGCAATTCGGGGCAGGTCTCAAAGACCTCGCGGCGGCCGAGAATGTACAGACCCAGGCGCGCACGCGACAGCGCCACAGACAGGCGGCGGATGTCGCGCAGGTAGCCCACGCGGGATGTACGGGTGAGGGACAAGATGATGTCTGAACTGTTAGTAGTGATCGGGCTAAAGCATAAAATAAAATAAACAGATAAATAAAAGGGTACCGCAGGGCCCCGGAGTGAGCCTGGCTTTACGTACAATCGTTCTGCTCGCCTTGGTAGCGGTCGACCGTAGTCAGAATCTTGGGCATGCCGAAAATGGGGCTCTTGCGGCACCGGAACTCGAGCACGTCGCGAATCAGCGCCCGCTGGCCGGCATACGTCGTCAAAATCGTGATCTTGCTGGCCGGGTAGCCCAGCAGTCGCATGTACTGGAACAGCGCCACCGCGTACTCGGCCTCGCCCAGATTCTGGATAAAGTGCGGCGACGGCTCCGACTCGCCACGCCCGCGGTAGTCGGGCACGTTGATAAACTGGTAGTCGTAGCGGAAGCCCGCGTTGGCCGTCAAAAAGGCCGGATCCGTCTGCACGTGCGGCAGGTCCACGAGCCCCGGGTAGCGCCACCGGTACAGGTCGGCAATCGACGGGCGCGCGCGGCCCTGCTGGTCCAGGTTAATTGTGGGCACGCCGAGGCGCACGAGCCGCGAGAACAGCGACTGCTCGAGGTTGGCATAGTGCCGGAAGGCCAGGTTCTGCACGATGGGCGAGTTCTGGAGATGGTCGCCGCACAGCACCACGCGCTGCAGCGGCACCTCGCCGGACGTCGCGTTGACCTTTTGCAGCGCCAAGGGGATAAAGTCTTCAATTTCTGTGATCTGCGCCGCCTCCTCCACCACGACGTTGTCGTAATGGAACCCGAGCGCCGCAATCTCGCCACGCCGCATCGCTGCGTGCGTCGACGTCATCGCCACAATGCGCGCTTCCTTGGTGAGCAGGTAGTTGGCCTTGTCACGGTCGCGTCGCAAAATCTCAAACGGCTGCACGTCTGCCAGCTCCGTAAACACCTTAGAAATGTGCCGATAGCAGCCGTTGGCGATGTCCAGTACGGCATCGCGGTCGGCGTCCTCGGGGAACAGCGGTTGCGGCGCATCCGCAAAGTAGTTGTGGAACGGGAATGCCTGCACAATGTCGGCCGCCGACGCGCCGTCTGTGTGCACGGCCACGTCGTTGAATTTGGACCATGCCGGCTCAATGTACACCGCGTTGAAGTAGCCAGCCGTCTCGGCCGAGTTGCCATGCGCGCCCGGCGCACCAATGCTTGCCGCCAGCCGCGTCACTTCCTGCAAGTACTGGTTGCGGTTCTCCAAAAACATCTCGACACGGCCGTACTTGCTGAAGCTGGCGCCCTCAATGCTTAGCTCCTCTTCACCGTGGCCAAGCCGTAGCAGGTGCCGCTGGTCAATGTCGAGGGCCGCGATTTTGGCAAACAGCTGGTTCAGTGCCTGATTGCTGTGTGCAACCAGCAGTGTGCGCTGCTCGGGGAAGTTGTGGTAGAGGGTGTTGATGATCTGCGTGGCCACATCTGTCTTGCCCGTGCCAGGCGGACCGACAATCACTGTCAGCCCGGGCTGCACGCCCGACATGATGGCCTCGGTCTGTGCTGGCGTGAACCGCACCGAGTTGAGCTTGGGCGCATCGACGGGGTACGGCCCATTGTTGGGCGGCGTGTACGTTGACACCTTTAGCATTTCCACGTCAGCAATCAACGCTGGTTCGGCGTCGCGCCGCCGCTTCTTGGACGGGGGCTTGGCGGGCGCCAGCACCTCGGCGGCTGGTGGCTTGTCGGCCAGGCCCAGCACGTACGGCGGACCAAAACTGCTAGTCACGTCGTCGCTCGGCTCGACTGTCTTGCCCGGCAAGCTTTCAATCAGGTGATGCCAGTCGAGGAACGTGTCGCGGAAGTCGACCTTCTTGATCCGGTTCGGCAGGTGCTTGTAGGTTGCGGCAGCCGGGTCGCCGTAGCCCAGGAACACCTCGTGCAGCCAGGGCGCCAGTGGCACGTCGGACAGCACGAGACTGCGGATCGAGTCGAGCACGGGCTTGAAGTTGTTCTCGCGCCCGTGCCTCCGGATAATCAGGTTGAAGCTGTCATACACATCGGGTGCGCCGTCCGACGACTGGCTCGTGTCCTCTACAAACGAAGCGGCGTCGAGGCGCACCTGCAGCTTTCTGACGAAACTGCGATGCCCATATCCAGCACGACCGCCGCCGCCTCCACTCCCGCCGCGCGCGCCTCGTCCACGGCGCTGGAAGCCCTGGCCACGGGTGTTTTCAGGCTCCATCGGATACATGACCTCGGCTGTGCGAATGGACGTGATTCCGAGTTGTTGCGCAGTCAGTGAAGCGCCGTTACGATTGTTAGTAATAGCCGCATTCCTAGCCTGGTTGGTGTTTACGGCGATCAAGAAGACAGTGTCGTCCGGCCGCAGCGCCTCCCACTCGCGTCGCATAAAGTCCTTGACGCCCCGGAAGTCGATGGCAACCTCGGCCTTGACCAGCGATGGCTGGTCGTCACCCACGAGAGGCGGTACAACTTGTGCAATTCTGAAGATATGTTAGTAAGGATTAGTAAAAGGAAACAGGAGGATATGACAAGACAACTAACGATAACTTCTGAATGGGCATGACCATCTTGCCGATGCGTGTGAAACGTGTCTCGCCCGCGTTTCCTGGCAGAGACTCGACCCGTAACAACGCTGCCTCGATATCTTGGCGAATGCTATAAAAGGACTCGCACCGGTAGAGTACGAGCGAGCGCCAAAGGAAGTCGCCCACCGACAGGTACTGCAGGTTGAGCTTGGGCAGTGCAAGCGGTCGCGACCCGTCGTAGCTGTCGGACCGCGTCAGGCCCGTGTCGAAGAGGGTCTGTTCGGTCGGCAAAATGGACAGGTTGCGTGCCTCGTCCTGGAACGTCGGGCGCTTCTCAAACGTGCCGAGCAGCGCCTCTACCAAGAACGTACGCCCGATCTGCACCTTGCACGAAGGCGGGTACGCGGTGCGCAAGTGCAGTAGGTCTGCAAGCTGCACAATCTCACTGTCGGTCAGCGACGCCAGCAGCCCCGCCAGCTCGTCGCGCTTATCGATGGAGCCGTAGTTGGAAAGCGCCAGCACGGTCAGCTTGTCCTTGAAGTGCTTGAGCGCGACGCGCTGCAGGGCGGCAAGGCGCCCACAGTGCTTGTCGTACGCCTCGGTCTCGCTGAGCTGCGCGCCTGTCTGGTCGTCGACGCTAAAGTACGTGTAATGGGTGAGCAGCGATGCCATGTCGCGCAAGAGACCATTTGCCTCGTCGTGGACGACGGGCGACACGGCGAGCGCAGGCAGCACGTGCAAGTCCTGTAGGAGCGCATTGACGTAGCGACGCGTGGGTAGCTGGCTCTGCAGATCCGACAAAAACTCGACAAAGCGCTCGCAGTAGCGCACGGCGTCTTGCGCACCCGTCTCGTCAAACAGCACGCCGATGAAGTCGAGCACGAGTGAGTACAGCCACGAACGGTCGAAGCGCAGCCGGGCCTGGGTGGCCGCGTCGCCAGCGTCAAACCGCTTGGCGGCTGCACGCCAAGCCTTGCGCAGGTGGTTCGTCTGGTCGAGCAGCTCGTCGCGGCGTGCGTCATTGGAAATGTTGTGCCACGTTGAGATGGACACGAGAGGCGCGCACTCTTTACGGACAATGGCGCAGTCGAGGCTCTGGAAGGCATGGATCACAAAGTACAGAATTTGCGAGCGGATGGCGAGCGAGAGGCTCGTGTCGAGGCTCATAGTGAGCGTCCGCCGGAAAAACGACGCAAAGTCCAGCGGGCGGTCCGTAAAGACGCCCCATGTGTCGAGATGTTCACGCTTCTTGGCGTTGGTGATGAGCACAATGAGCAGGACGTGCTGGTCAGAGGCATCCTCGGTGTAGCCAGGCCACAAGTATCTGGAAAGGAGTAGTTAGCATCGTCGTCTTGACTTGTCCTCTTTGCCGCGTCCCTTCCAGCCGTACTCCCGTACACCACGCCGCGAATGGTGACCTACCCCTCCAATGTCTGCAGCGTCTCTAGTGACAACAGTGCACGGAACGGAAAGCCATCCTTCTCAAGAGGGGCCCAGAGGCCGTCCTTGATCACGTCGTTTTTGACCTTGACCTTGGCCGGCAATTTGCCGCCCTTGAGCCAGTGCAGCTTGGCCAACCGCGCAAATGCCGACTCGCCGTCGGGCACCGCGGCTGCTAGCGGTGCTGTCGCTTTGCTACCGGCCTTGGCCTTGGAGGCCGCGCCGCTCCTGAGCTTCTTGGCCGGCGGCATGACTGGTCCTTGAAGAAGGACTCGTGCTCGGATCGTCGATCGAAGCGTGTCGCGGTGTGCGGCTGCAACGCCGCCTGTGTCCGTCGTGTGCGGTGTCTTCACAGGGCGCGTTCGAGGTCGTGGGCGCGACGTGTGGTCTGTTGTGCCGTCTGCCGGACTGTCTGTAGCCAGAGTGTTGTGTTGTGTTGTCGTTTTGGACGGTTTTTTCGACCTCTGATCTGCCGTATTTACTTGGAGATGCCACTGACAATGAAAGAGACCGGTCGCACCTTCCCTAGCAGCCGCGTTACGTCGCATTGCAGAGGTCCTGCGGGAAGTGGCTCAAACGCGCTAGAAAATTGAAATGGGGCGTCCTGATTGGCCAGCCTCGTCGTACTTCAAACCACACAGATAGGCAGGTGCTAACGGCTAGCTCAAGCAGCTCTGGAGTGTTTTGCACTACAGTACTCCGAAGATCCACTTCAATCACTTCAACTACTTCAACTTCTCGACAATCTAACATCAACGCTGACAGCCACCGCTCACGCACGCCAGCACGCCGACCACGATTTCCTGGCGCCCAGATAACATTTACACAACGTCGAAATATAGTACCGGATTCTCGTACATCCCTCCGGACGCGCTCGGTAGCGACGTAGCCCTTCTTTCGCGGCCACGATGCCCGGCCTCGAGATCAACAGCCACGGTATCCCGGCCGTCGAGGCGATCGGCGCGTACCTGCAGGAGCTGCTCGACCATGCCGAGACCGTCAAACCGGACCGAATGCTCGAGCCGACGCTGGCCAAGTCGGACTTTGACGACATCTACGGCCACGTCGCGCGCATCTTTGCCGGCTTCGACGATCCGAATGGCAAGAAACTGCGGCAATATGCGATCGTTGAGACGGCCGCGCGCGACATCTTTGGCGAGCTCATTGTGAGTGACCTGTCCCCCTTTTTGAAAAAAAAAAAATTCAAAAAAAATCAGATGTGTACTGTATCAGCCTCTTAACATCCCAGTCCTCTACGTCCATCGACTCACCCGACTTCGTGCGTGTCTGGAACCTGTTTGACATTCTGGCCATTCTCGCCGACAACGTGGACTGCGACCCGCCGCTGCTGTTTTGGCTCATCGAGGAGCTACTCGACAGCCAGACGATAGCAGGCTGCCGCAAGGTGTTTGACTACCTTGAATCGCGCCGCGAGCGCATCACCGCCAAGTACTTTAACAGTACGAAGCTTGTTATCCTGCGCAGCTGCAACGACCTCTTGCGGCGCTTATCGCGTGCTGATGACACGCCATTTTGTGGCCGTGTATTCATTTTCCTCTTCCAGGTCTTCCCGCTGGGCGACAAGAGCTCGGTCAACCTGCGCGGCGAGTACCACGTCGAGAATGTGACGACATATGACGAGACGCTGGTCACGGCCGAAGCTGAGACGCCGGCAGGAAAGACAGGCGAGGAGGACGGCGGTGCCGAGAAGATGGATGTCGACGAGGCGGCGATTGCGACACCACCTGGCCCTGCCGCCGATCAGAAACCCAGAACCGACTTTGCCGCCCTTTATCCCGTCTTCTGGTCGCTGCAGGCCAGCTTCAGCCAGCCCAAGAAGCTGTTCGACCCTGACCACTTTAGCAAGTTCAAGGCCGGCATGGAGGCCACTTTGGCCACTTTCCAGCAAATCAGCAGCCAGGACAACTCGCGCAAACAGCGGCAGCTCGACGAGTCACGGCGGAGCGTCAAGCGCAAGCGGGACAAGGAGGAGAAAGAGCTCAGGGAATTGAAAGAGGCCAAGGGGACCAGGGAAGATACGAAGGACATTGAAGACGAGCAGGACGAGTTGGCCGATACGTACAATCCCAAGTACCTCACGAGCCGGGACCTGTTTGAACTGGAGGCAAGTCAAATCTCGGCCGTCGGCCACATAAAAGTTGCTACTTTACTGACATACGATACAGACCAGTGATTTGACCTTCCGGCGCCATTTCCTGTTGCAGGCGCTCATTGTCATGGAGTTTTTGCTGTCCCTGTCGCCCAAGGCCAAGGAGAAACTGGCAGGAACCAACGCACCCAACAAGTCCGTCACCTACTCTGACCAGACGCTCAGCAATGAAGATGCTGCCTGGGCCGCAAAAATGAAGCACGACATCACCGATCATATTAAGAATAGCAACAGTGATGGGCCGTACTTCTTGCGAATGGTCGACACCATACTTGCGCGTGACAAAAACTGGGTCCGTTGGAAGATTGAGTCGTGTCCGTCTATCGAGCGAGCCCCCATCTCCGCGGACGAGTTTGTTGCCGCCGAGGAGGGCGCCCAGCGTGCTTTTGGCCAGCGCCGTCGGCGCAGCACCGGCAATATGAACTCCTTCTCGCTTGATTTTTTGGACGACGAGGATCCCGAGGAGGCTCTGGCCGAGCTCAAGAAACCGGGCCGCTCCCAATTGTCGGCCCTTGACGCCTTTGAGCGGGAGATTGCCGACGAGGACTTTGAGATTGAGATGCCAGACACCGACGCATCGAAACAGCTGGCCGAGGAGCGCAAGGCCAGCAAGACGTGGCGCGCGCTCCGGATTGTGCGGCAGACAAACCTTTCGATATTTGACAAGATTGACAATGATAACGACGTGCGGCTGATCTTTAAGACGGCCGATGGCAGTCACCTCGAGGAGGACGAAGACGAGCTGGACGCCGAGGCGGATGGCGTGACGGGCGATGCTGTCGACAGCGACAAGCTGCCGTCTGACAAGCAGGCCGTAGTCCTTGTTGCCGCCGCCGACGACATCGCCGTAGCAGTCGCCAAGTTGCTGGTCGAGCAGAACCCGGGTGTCTTTGGCATTGTTGGCCAGTACACGACGCGTCCCTCGCCAGCTGCTGCTACCGAGTCGGAAGCAGCTGCAGTCGGTGGTGCCAAGAGCTACTTCCAGCATCTCGAATCAAAAGCATTCAACTTGCTTCTCGACGGCGATGAGTTTATCGGCTTCGGCGAGTCGGCTGGTCATCAGTACGGCTCTCGTCGGAAGCAGATCGACGCCGCCTGTGCTACTGGCAAGATTCCCCTGGTACTCATGAACTACGAGGTATGTATCCCGCCGAGACATGAACACCTCGCACTCCTCTGCATCTTGTACTAACTCATACAGAGCGTCGATGCTGCCCAGGGAAACGCGTTCGCTGCTCGCTACATCTTCCTGAAGCCGACCAGCACCGAGGCTCTCGAATCCTTACTGAAAGCGGCCGGCGCATACGAGGCCGACGCAGACTTACAGGTCGCCCTAGCGGAGGCCAAGGAGGTTCTCGACAAGCTGGGAGGCGAAGGCCAGCCCACTTTTGCAAAGACGATAGACGTTGATGACGTGGCAGCTGCAGCGACGCAGCTTGGAAACTATGTCTACGGCAGAGAAGAGGCCACGGATACAGACCAGACGATGGGGGGCGTGGAGGAGGCAAAGGCGGATGCAAGCGAGGTCAACGAAGATAAAAAAAAGCCCGCTCCGAAAGAAAGTGGCGAGACCACAAACGACGCGGCGGCCGACGAGGCCAAGCCAGCCGAGCCGAGTGCAGAAGAGGACGCCTCGATGGCCGATGCAGGCGACGATGCTCCAGAGAATGCCTTGGCAAACAAGGAGTGATTGATATCCCACATGAAGAATCGTTTTATCAACGGAGTTGGAAATGTACAATAGAGGGAAATTACAGAGTCAGCGATCGCAATTCATAATGCTTACGTAGTTCAATAATTGCAAAAGAACACTGCTGGACATGCCAACAAACACACTCGTATAACTATCATATAGAACTAAGCCATATTGGTAAACGCTCTTCAAATGCGACTAATATCTGCTCCTCGTACCTTGTTGATACGTGCAGGTAAGAACCGTTGATCGAGCATTTGCTTCCCAAAATATATGCTGGCTATTTTCGGGGTATCATTCCAAGAAATCCACCAAACAAAGCCGACAAAAAACACTAAAAGTAATAAGAAAATGATTATTAAAAGAAGAAGGAAAAGGACCGCAAGCGATTTGCACTGCGGTTTGAACGTCGTGTTGTAAAGCAGGAAAGGAAAACGAAATGATGGATCGAGCGCAAGAGTGTATCTCAAACGCGCTGGTATAGGAAGGAAAAGAAAGAAGAAAACGGACGCAAACATAGGGGAAAAGAAAGAAAAAATTCCGTAAACCAAAGGTCGTAAACCAAAAGACCGTAACCAAACCGTTTGAACAAAGTCATAGGGCGCGTTAAGAGAAAAGAGTTGCACGATATATTGGGGTATGATAACGCGGACAAGAGTGACATCTCACCGCCCAGTTGTGACCGGGTGCAAAAACAACCGACGGCCAATGTTACCAAAGCACACGCTGCTGCAGAAGAGCACGCTGAGCATCCATATAGCGGTCTCGGCTGTGACAGCTGATGCAGAAGCATCAAGGCCGCTGCCGTCATTAGAGGACGCTGACGAGCCGTTCTGATGGAAGGAGGAGGCACCATAAGCACCACCCACACCAGCGCCGTAGCCAACATAGTAGGGACTCGAATGCATGCCCGGGTTGGGCATCCAATCAAGATTCAAAATCATGAGTGCACCGGAGCCGACAACGCCAAAGGCAGCAGCGAGAAGAAGGCCTGACTTGGACCGGTCCAAGAGGTACCACAAAAATGGGTTCGCTAGAGCGAGGGTCAACGATGCCTGCATCGTTGACGTCCACGGCAGTTTGCGCTGTGGATATGTTAGTTCAGTAGTGCATAAAGAGAGGGGGAGAGAGACCATAAGACACTACATACCATGGCGAATGCAACACCAGCAAAGGCACCAATGCCGCGCACAACGAGCGCCCAGTCGGTATCCGGAGCCGTGCGGGTCTTGCCCAACACTCTACCATTGCGGCCAAACGACCGATCCCAGACACCGTCGAACCATGGCAGAAGCGTGCCAAGCGCAATGCCCGACAGACCCCACGACACCAGGTAGCGCCAATCGTAGCTGGCGACATACTCGGTCGCAGGGCTGGTATCCGCCGACGAAGACGTAGACTCGCCAAGGTCATCAAACGGGACATGGGTCTCGCTGCGCAGACGGGACACGAGAACGCCGTAACCCATTCCGAGGGTGAACAATAAGACCGCTCGAGCGAAAACAGAGAGGAAAAGCAGGATATGGGACAGCGGTGACGGCCCCGTTGACTGCCCAGGCTCTTCGGGGATGCTCTTCCTGCGGCTAAGAGGCGCCGGTTGCAGCCTGATGGTAGGTACGGCGTCGGCACTTAAGCTCTCCCCGCGTCTCCGCTGACGCTGCAGCATCATGAGCGACTGCGATGCCTTCCGCACTTCGTCAATCTCGGCAGCAGACGCGTTCGTGTTTTTGCCTTCTGCATCGTCTTCGTCATCGTTTCCGGGCGCCTCCGCGAGCAGCTCACGCGCTGGTGTCTCGGCGCCGGTGCCCCAAGGTGTGCTGGACTCAAAGATGCCGCTGGCGCCGCCTCCCACACTGCCGCGGCCGGGTGTTGTTGGGCTGAAGATGCCGAAAAGCGTGGACGACGTGAGGTTAATAATCGACTGGGCACGGCTGATGGACTCGCTGCCACCAGGTGTTAAGTTGGTGTCGGCGTCGGTCGGCGGCCGCGGGTCAAGAAACTGTGCAGCCTCTGTGGACTGCCGCGGCTGTCGCCGGTCGGGTCGCGAGGCATCCCTACTGTAGATATCCTCTGGAGGTGTGGCGGGTTTGACAAAGGGCCGCCGTGGGATCGGTTGGTGGACGACCAACGGAGGGCCGTTGGTGGACATGGTTAGGTGTATGGGAGCGGGAGCCGGAAGCGAGCCGCACGGTTCAAGATAGCGGGTGAAAAACAATAAATATTTCGTATAGTTCACGCGAGGAAGCAGGTCCGCAACAAACGTTGGGCGCTGTAGAAATGCCTTCAGCTTTGTTGGTCGGTATTTGATGCGAGGTATGAACGGAGGCCGGAGTCGAAGGCCGTGGGGCGAAGGATCAGGTGAAAAACGTCAAGAGCAGTGCCAGAGAGTGATATGAGGACGAGTCCTATAATTAATATGCGATGCGGAGAGGTCGAGAAACCACAGAGACCACAAAAGCGAGACAAACAATGCAAGGGACGTCCGAGAGACCAGTGTCTTAAACAGGCATGCGGCCAGCAAAGCGCGCGACGCCCTCACAGAATGCGGCAATGGGAGGCAAAATAGCAATGCGAAGGGGGATATGCCAAAGAATGCAATAGAGACAGACGAGATGAAGAAATGAGAAAGAAAAGGAGAAAGAGTACGAGAGTAGAGAGGGGGGAGATGTAGCGAAAAATGAGGAGTGCACGGCAAGACTGTAATGGTTGCAGGCGCCAGATATGAGGAAACGGACCGTTCGCGCCTGCTGGTTGGGACAGAATGAAGCGCGCCCAGGAAGGAAAGAGCTGGGCGAGGGACTAAAAAGCGGGCCACGGCAGGAAGGCAGGGCCCAACCAGCCTACGGGACAGCAATTCAACAATACATACGAAGTACGTCGTACGTATCTGACAGTCACTTTTGCGTACGAGCTAGCGAATTGTTGCCTTGCGAGTCTTGAAATTGCCTGTTCCAGACAAGCCCCGAGCTGGGCTGGTGCATACGAGACAGAAACGAAAGCCAAAAAAGCTGGCAGAAATGTCCAAGGCTAGATGCGCTTCCATGTGCGTTCCAGGCGCACCTTCCTAGCTTTTTTTTTCTCTTGCTCTTCGCCCCAACACTCCTTCCTGGCTTGCCCTCCTTCGCATCCGCTCCTTCCGTTAACCGCATCATAATGCCAAAAAACCCACGTCTCCCTTCCACCCGCTGTTCGTTTTGGGCTATTGTCACATGCTCTTTCTTGGCAAGTCAAGCGGCTGGCTGCTGTTGCCATGAATATTCACTACGTCGTAGAAAGAGCAAGAGCCCCTCCTTCCTCAAGACGTTCAGACAGAAGGAATGCACGTCAAAGGTTCACAGGTTGTTAGTGGCGCTACTGGTAAACGACCTGTGGACCATGGGGACGCGCGCCTTCCCCAGACAATGCCGATCAGCAGCGCAAGCAGCAGAAACAGAAACAAGCAGGAGCACAACCACCGCGCAAAGCGTCTGTACGAAGTACACTTTGCAGCCCATGTGATCCGCCACAGCTAGGACCCACTCCTCCACTACTGATGACCTGACTACGACGTAGGGAGTACAACATATGCTACTTCCCTCATCTCCACCACCATTTCTGAACGTCGACTTTATTCAACCAAAAAACAGCCGCTCTGCAGAACATAATACAGCTGCGCAATCATGCATGCAACCCCACGCGCCTTGACTCCTGCAGCAATCTCCTCTCGCCTCTCTGCTATCTCACCCCAGACGCCCCGTATTTGCATGCATCTTCGCAACCGACTGCCCTGATTTTTGAAAGCTCGGCGAAGCTGTGCAACTCCGAAGAATATCGCCAAGAGCCGGAGCTCGGCATTGCCTTGACAATACGATGCTTGCTTGCCTTCAGTCGCCCCAGTGGCGGCCGCCGTGGCTGCTTCTGTGCTTACGGATATCACACCTGTCTCAGAGCAACTGTCAAATTGATGGGTACGTACGTAGGCAAACTAAGATCAATATGGGCGCCATGAAACATGAAAAAAGAGTAAGCAAAACAGAAAAATATGAAACATGAAATTCGAACGCCGAAATGCTTCTCCACGGATCTTTTCTCTACTCGTCGTCGTCGTCCTCCTCCTCCTCCTCGTCATCGTCTTCCACGTCACTGTCCTCAACACCGTCTGGCCGAGGAATCATCACAAAGGCCTCCACGCAGGTGATGCGGTCCGGCGTCTGGTACGCGCCGAGCAACGTACCCAGCTGCTTGGGCTTTGCCGCCAACGGGCTACCGCTGGCGCTGATGGCCGTGCTGTTCTTGTAGGCGCGGCGCAGCTCCTGGCCCGTAATCTTCCACACGCGCAGCATGCCCGTGCTCGTCGCCGACACAACGTACCAGGCCTTTTGTAGTCGCTTCTTGTCGCCCTTGGCGGCCCCATCTACGGGCTCCAGGACAGGTAGGATCTTGAACGCCTTGACTCGGCCCGTGACGCCCGTCGCGTTGCCACCAAGCTGGCCGATCAGACGTCCCGAGGGCAGCGGAGCAGCAGCCGTAGCCGCCTTTTTGTCATTGCCTGGCGTAGCAGACGCAGGAGCGGCCACCAAGTCCTCGTTGCGCGTGGAACAGAGCAAAATGCGTCCGTCCTCGGTGGCCACGGCCAGGAGCGAAAACAGGCCCGCTTTGTCCGCGGCGGGCGCGTCTGGGTCGTCTCCAACCTCCACGTAGCAGAAATCATGCGTCTTTGTGAGTGCGTCGCTCAGCACCTTGCACCGTGGCAGACTGTCCATGCCAAATACGACGACGTTACGGTCAAAGCCAATAGCGTATTCGTCCGTCCCGTCGTCGGCATCGGCATCTGCGTCTGCACTCCCACAGCCAAACGTCCGGCCCCAGACAACCTGCCGGCCCTCGCCCGTCGCAAAGCGGCCCTCGCCCAGCTCTCTCAACAAATCCTTGCTAAAGTTGAGCACACCCGCCTTCTTGCCCGTCACCAGGTTCCACAGCCGCATGCTGCGCTCGCCGCGGCTCACGCTGATCATGACCTTCATGCTCGGGTGCACGGCAAAGTCGTTGACACCCGACGGCGCGCCGCCTGGGGGTGCCGTGTCACCGCTGGGCCGCCGCAGGCCACCGCCCATGCCCTCCTTGGGCACGGGCGCCTTGATCATCGACAGCAGCGACCAGTCGCGCGTGCGCGTCACGGCAATCGTCGAGTCCTCGGACGCCGAGAGCAGCTTGGACCGTGTCGGGAACGAGAGCTTGGTAATGGAGGACGCGTGGTGCAGCAGCGTGCCCAGCTCACGGTTCTTGGCGTTCTCAGCAATCGGCATGACTGGCCGGCTGGTGACAGCCGCCATGATGGCCCGTTCTTCGTCGGACGCGCCAAGACCCGAGGCGTCAGCCGGTGCATGGGCCGACAGGTTGTAGATGTTGATGCGTTCGTCGGTGCTGCCGGTGGCAAGCATGATCTTCTGGCCCTGGCCCGGGATGGGTGCCGACGGCGGCGAGAGGGCGAGGCAGCGGATGGCCGACGAGTGTGCGTTGAACAAAAACGTGTCGGTGAACCTCACACCCGCCGGAGTCACCGTGGCCACGACGCCGTGCAGCGTGCGGTCGTAAGAGCCGGCCACGATCTGGAGCGCTGCCGGTGCATCGCCGAGCGCCACGACCGAGTTGGCGGATGCCGTTGCTGTTGCTGGAGCGGGTGCTGACGCTGCCACGGCTGCCGTCTTCGCACTTTTCGGCGTCTTGTCTTTCCGTCTGGTCGAAGCCACGTTAGCGGCAGTAGAAGAAGAGGTGGTGCTCTTAAGCGAAGACTTCATCTTTAGGATGGAAGTCGGAGTTTTTGAAGTTGTTGGTGTCGGCGTCGGCGTCGCTTTCGTCTTCGGTCTGGTCGCCGCAGGGACCTCCGGGTCCACAACCGAAGCCTTGGCCTCCCGCTTTCTCTTCATGGCGTTTTTTGGTGCGTGTGCTTGCATTGTTGAGGATTTGTCGTATGAGGTTGTTATTTTCTTGAGAAGAATCACCAGAAAAGCTCGAAACTCACTGTAAATTGGGGAGGACCGCCTAGCGCAACAGCCTCCTGCCGTTTGGGTGCCCACTAAAGATTTTTTTCTTATCGGTTTCCAGTCTTATCGCTTATCTTATCGCTAATCGCATTGTCAACAAATCAAGGAGATTTCATCATACTGAATGTACCGTCGTCGAACTTCATTCCTCAGCAGTACGACACAAACTATTTCCGTTCAGCTACATTCATGCTCATCACAAGCTGGCAAACGAGGTGGGAATTAAAACGCTTCAAAGATTAAAAATATAAAAGCCAAATACGTGGCTAAAGAATGTACTACAACATACAAGGCACGATATGCCTCATGCTTAACCGTGCAACTCCCTAAAAAGACTCCCTGCTGACACCCTTGTTCTAGCTCGACGGCGTCTGGGCGCTGCCATTGGGCACAGCGTTGTTGCCATTCGCCTGGCGTGCCAGCTGGGCTGCTTGGTGTTGTTGCTGTTGCTGGGCAAGCAGTGGAGACGCGGCAACATTCGACGGCGATCCGGCCGAGCCCTGGCCCTGGCCCTGACCCTGACCCTGAGCCTGTGTTTGGGCTTGCAGCTGTGCTTGCTGGGCAGCTTGAGCCGCTTGTGCGGCTTGCATCTGCGCGACCTGGGCCGCCTGCACAGCCTGCGCTTGTTGTGCGGCCTGTGAGACGTGGTGCTGTGCCGACGCGGCTTGCTGCACCTGCTGGGCCTGTTGGGCTCGGAGCAGCTGCGCGTACTGCCGCGGGCTCGTGCCGGCCAGTGCCTGCTGCGGTCCGCCGCCCGCCGCCGAGTGCATGGCGCTAGCACGCTGCATCATCATAATCTGCGAGTAGTTCTGGATGGCCATCGTACGAGCCTGCTCTGCAGTCAGGCTCGGGTTTTTGGCACGGAAGCCGTTCTCCAGCTCGCGAATCTGCGCCATGATGTTGGGCGGGAGGGGCGATTGGGCCGGCATCGCTGGGCGCGGCGAGGGCGAGTTGGCCGCCATAGGGCCACCCATGCCCATTCCGACACCCACAGGGCTGCCCATGGGCGCGCCGTTGGCAGTGTTGAACTGGCCGGCCATGCCCTGGCCGTTAGCCATAAAGTTTTGCTGGTTGTTCATCGGTCGGATGCCGGTCGGCGAGCCTTGGAGCACAGACGGCGCCTTCACCATGGGCTGGCCCTGTTGCGCCAGCTGGGCCTTTTGCGCCTGCTGTGCGGCCGCTTGCTGTTGCTGCTGTTGCTGCTGGGCTTGCTGGGCCTGCTGGGCCTGCTGAGCCTGCTGAGCCTGCTGAGCCTGTTGCTGCGACTGCGGCGTCTGCGACTGTGCCTGTGCCTGTTGCTGCGCTTGCTGCTGCATGTGTTGTTGCTGCAGCAATAAGATCTGCTGTTGCTGTAGTTGGTGTTGCTGCTGCGGGGTGAGGTGTGGAGAGTGTTGGCCCTGCTGGCCAAGTTGGGCGTGTTGAGCGAGCGGTGTGTGCTGTTGGGTGTTCAGTACGTGTTGCGGTTGCTGTTGTTGCTGATGCTGCTGTTGCTGCGCCAGTTGTTGCATCTGCAGCTGCTGCAACTGCTGGTGGTGCATCTGTTGCTGCAGATGGTGCAGTTGCTGCTGCTGTTGTTGTTGCTGCTGCTGCTGCTGCTGTTGCTGGTGATGCTGTTGGTGCTGCTGCACTTGGTGTTGTTGCTGCACCTGTTGCTGCTGCTGCTGCTGCATCTGAACGGCCCGTTGCTGGTCCTGGATGCGCCGAGCCTGCAGGACAAGGTTAATGTCGGGCTGGCCACCCTGCGCAGCCTGTGCTTGCGCCTGCGCCATGTGGAGTCGTTGTTGCGCCTGCAGGGCTTGCTGCAGCTGGGCCTGTTGCACGCTTGTCATCGGGACGGGCGTGCCAGCGCTGTTCATCGCAATGTGTGGCAGGCCCTGCATGGGGTTCGCCGGGCTCTGAATGGGCATCCGCGGCCGCGGCTGCTGCGGGTTGCGCATGGGGACGCCGTGCGGCGCAACCGGCACGTTCGGCCGCGCAGCCATGGCCATGCCATTCGCGGCGGCCATCTGTGCCGCGACTTGAGGCGGTACGCCAGGACCGGCTACAGCCATGCCCTGGTTCTGCTGGCGAGCCATCAACTGGTTCTGCAAATATGTATGTTAGGTAAGTCCAAAGCACTTTCAGAAGAGGGCATCGGAATGAAAATCGTACCTTGCGGTGCATCTCCGACTGCCGCTGCGTAAACTCGGCCAGGCGTTCAGCCATCCGCTGGTCGCGCTCAGCTCGCATTCTGCTGTACTCCCGCGGTGACTTCATCGCAGGGCGCTGCTGAGGCGGCTCGTTTGATTTCCGGGTGGCCACAATGGCTGCCTGCTGCTGCTGCTTGTGCTGGATGGCCTCACGCTTCTTCGCGAGCTTCCGCATGGCTTCAAATGTCGCCAGATGCCTCTGGTTGCGGTGACGCTCTACCCGCATAGCAAGAGTAGGTCGACGTCTTTGCACTGGTGTCGGGGGCGGTGGTGCTGAGCCGCTACTGCCATTGGTCTGCGCCGCCGCTGCGGTCGCGGCTGTGGCTGCGGCTGCGGCAGCCACAGCCTTTTCGTTCGCCTCGCGGATCGCTTTCTGCGCACCGTCAATCCGTGACTGGTAGATTTTGAAGTATGGCGACCGCGATGCATCACTGGGGAAGCCCTCGAGGCTGACCCACCGCTCGAAGCATTCCCACGCCGTGCGCCGCTCGGCTCCTGACGCAAAGAGCGACTTGGGGGCAAGAAGGCTCGCCGTCAACGCCCAGTTGTACGAGTACTCGCGCACGAGCTTCTTCAACTGATCGTCGTCCGCCACGGTCCATTGCGATGGTGGCCGGTACTCATAGAATCCAGGCATCGGCATCGGATATTCAGACGGAGGGCGAAACTGGTGACCAGCGTGCAAGCGCTCACGCATCGTCTTCAGATTCGGGTCGAACAGCCCGACAATGTTGTCAGCTGCAGCTGTGTTGCGCGTCGCTTTCTTGTCGGTCGCTCCGCCGGCTGGCGTCTCGTCCACAAATTCCTCGACATCGTCATCGTCGTCCTCGTCGTCAATGGCATATCGGCTCTGTTTTTGGAGCAGTGGTCTCCGCTTAATAACAATTGGCGTCTCAATGTACTTGCTGACGGGAACGACAGGGCGGCGCCAAGCGGCATCTGGATCTTGATCCTTGGACGTCAGGTCGGCCTTGGGCACTTCGAGGGGCGAGCCATACATGGGCAGTTCGGCAAGGAGGCGGTCAGAGGACACAGACGGGTTGAGTTCGAAGACGACTGCGTCGTCTTGCAGGGCGAAAATGGCAGAGGGCGCCACGGTAGTCGCAAACGGAACAACAGCTTCCGTGAAATCACCGTCGTCGACCAAGTCCACTTCGTCTGCGTCAAGACCAGCCGCCGCGTCCCGAGCTTCGTCCGCGTGCGCGGCATCAATCATAGCATTGCCAATCATCTGCAAGTCGTCCGTCTCAGCGCTGCGCCGCGGCGGGATGCGGGCAACGACCTGCAGAGCTTTCCGTTGCTCGGGTGTTGCGTGGACCCATTCGGCACAGGCAAAAGCCAGACGGCGAGCAGCCGAGTGCTTCCACTTGCGTTCTTCCCGAAAATCGGTCCGCATCCACTTCAGCTCCTGCAGCATCACATCCCAATGCGACTTTTGTCTCACGGGCTCCTGGGCGCGCTTCGGCTGGCGCAGTGACCATTTATCCTGCTGCTGAAGATGATAGACGCGCTTCAGGATCTTGCACGATTGGTTGTCGAAAATCGATGCTTGGCTGTCGGCACTGGAGATGGTCTTCCGCGCATGATGCACTAACTGATCGAGGTTCTTAAGCCACTTGGAGTTTTGCGCAAACGTCTGCACGAAGAGCGGGGTGAAGTAGTCCTCGGCGAACAGGTTCTCCGACTTGGCGAGGTTGGACGGGACGATCGTAGTCTCGGGCTTGCTCTTCTTCTGCTTGCCGAACAAGACCGTCGGCGCCTTTCTCTTGCTGTCCTTCCGAATGTCCGCCACTACCAGATCGCCGAGGGTATGATTCTCGCTTGCATCGCCGGTCGATGGCTTAGGCGTCGGGAGAGTGGCGAGAACAGAGGGGCTGGCAGCCCCGTGGACGTAGCCCGCTTGGCCGTTCACGTGGTTCAATGCGGACGGCCTCGACTCCGTTGTCGGTCTGGTTAATGCCGAGCTGGTCGCGTCCGTCGTTGCCGGTGCTGGCGCTGGCTGCGACGCAGCTTCTTTTTTTGCAGGATCCTCAGTCGTCTCATCCACATCCATAGCCTGCGATGGAGTTTGAGTGGCTGCCGCTGGGGTTGTCGGCTGTGCTTGTGGTTTTGTCTTGTTTGCGTCCCTGCTGGTCGCTGCTTGGCTCTCACCAGCCGCAGCAGATTCCTGGAGCAGTTGTGCCTCGACGGTAGCGTCGCGGGCCCCGTCGGCAAGATTCTGATCCTCCGTCTTCCCCTGGCTGCTGCGCAGTTCGGCCTTTTCGTCGCTTTCGGCGTAGGACTCGTTCTCGTTATCGGGGCTCGTGTTTACTGACACGTCGTGTACCGCGGGCGTCGTGGCCGTCTGGGCGATAGAGTCAGGCGACGAGGGAATGTCGCCAGCCTTTGCCGCATCGCTGGCAGCATTGTCAGGCGAGTTGGCGGGCTTCGCGTCCGCGCTGTCCACATCCATCGCATCTTCGTCCCGTGGCGCAAACGCAACTGCGGGTGCTGCCGGTGTCGTTGGTGCTTCTGGTTTCGTGCCGTTCACTACCGGTTGGGTCGTCGCCGTCTCTGCTGCCAAGGCGGGTGATGCCTTGCCATCGTCCGGGATGCCATCTGGCCTCTGGCCGTTCAGAGCCGCCAAACCGGCTGTTGTCTGGGGAGTTAACAAAGGTGTCCTGGATTGAGAATCCGCGCCCGTTGGTGATGCCGATGCTGGCAGTGTCCCCTGAACCGGGGACCGGCGTTGTGTGGCTGCATTCTCAAGAGCATCCTGGACATTGCGACCGCTTGTTGACGCAAGATGTGATTCGGGAACGGTGGTCGAGGGAGCGTCGTGATCTTGTGTCGTTGGTGTCGGTGGCGCGCCGTTTTCGACGGTGGGTCGCGTGTCAATGCCTGCTTCCTTCAGGTAGGGAGCAGACGCGGATGCAAAGAACTGCTTGAGCGTCTCAAGGTCGGGCTTTTGTCGTGTCGGGATACGCGCGTCGCTGAGCGGACGACCTCTGCAAACGGACGTGTTAGTTGTGGGCGCGTGGGAGCGGCACAGGGCCGACGCGTGCCGGAAACATGCAAACAACGGGGGATATGCGAGAGGGACACGTACTGTAAGATGTCTGTGTCAAGCAAGAATTTTGTTTCGCCGGTGGTGGATGGCGGCGCGTCGACGTCGAATTTGTTTAGATTGAGGGCGCCATCGCCATCGGTCGCGACAGCGTAAAGTTCGCGCAGCTTGCGTTTGCGCGATCGCACGATTGAGCTAAAAATCATCAGCACGACATGAGCGATATCAAAAAGACGAGAAAAATTCGCGCTTTCGAATGAAATCGGTCGTACCTATATTCTGCCCGCTTTAATCGCAGAAGCTCGAGGCGGTCGGCGAGTCCGACCTCAGTCATGGCATGAGTAGGTGCGACATCCGTTTTCGACGAAACGAAATGTCGAAACAAGCTGAGAAGAACCAACACAGTCGTTTGCCGCGATAAAAAATGATGAAAAGGACTCTGTTGGTGTGTTTTGGGTCGATTTCTGTTTTTATTCGAGTTCGTGATGTTTCGCTTTTGGGGCGATAAATTTTTCAAAAGTTGCCTGGGAACGTAAAGTTCAGGTGCGTTTTCGCAGTAAGTCTGGGGTGAACTTTGAGATAGCGGGTTAGTCGGGGGTAATGGTAAGGATGAATTGTCCTCAGTAGGCAGTGTTTGGTGGTTCTGGTAGCCTAGTGGCGCCTTCCTTCTTCACGTCTGTCCCTTGGAGGAAAGGAGCGAAAGATGGGTTTTTTCGATTTTTTTTTTGCTTTTCTTTTTTCTTTGAGAGCCCCAGTATTGAAAAGTGGGGCGACAGGATGAATGACTATTATTGGGCAGGTGCGCTTTGCTAGGACAAGAGATGATCCCCAAAAAAATGGAAAGCTCAGAAAAGGGGTGAATTTGGCAGGGGAAAGCGTTGGACTCGCTGGCTGGCTGCGCACAGATAGTGTTATCGGCAGGACGCGCATTGGTTCGGCTCAGCGTCGTCCAGGGAGGCACCAGGCCTAGAGCCTACCTGGCCTAGTTGATGACTCTAACAGGTTTTATGCGACAGGGCGCTGAGAAAGGTCGCCTTTGAGGGTTGCTTTGGGAGATACGCGTAGGACTAATCTGGAAGTACGAAAATGACTAAGCACAAAAATCCACTTCTCTTAAGCCACAGTGTGGCTAGTAAATGGACAGCCTCGTCCACCGTCCACAGTATTTTATGAAGTTGCAGTCCACCGCCAAATGAGCCGTCTACCTGCAACTATTTCCCCTCTCAGTCACAGCAACGCCACCATGTCAGCACCAGAACGACCAGAGGCGTCACGAATCGCAATAAAGTTCGGCGGTGTATCAGCGATTACAAACAAGAAGCCAAAACGCCCGCCACCACCGTCATCCAGCCTGGGGAAGCGGCAGCGGCCGAGTCACGGTTTAGGCGGGAACTCGGACTCCGAGTCAGAGGAGGATGCTCCCAAGCACGGCCGGCACGAGCGCATCACGGCATTTGGCGACAACGGGGCCGAGCTCGCCACAAGTACCAGGGGCGAGCGGGACGATCGACGAGCTGCAAAGCGCGGGCCATTGACGATTGAACGACAGCCCAACCGTGACTGGAAAAAAGAGGCCCGGTCGCGCAACCAACGCAGTGGTCGGCCATCGGAACCGCAATCAACAAGTGCACCGGGAGATGGTACTCGGAGCGATGTTGATCCAGCAGACCAGGATAAACCGATAAAGTGGGGCCTGACCATTACAAAGACGACATCACCAACGGAAGGCGAGGCAGCTGGACAGGACAACACAACGGCGAACGGTCGCGCAGACACCCCGACCCGTGACATAACGAGGGGTACACCTGAAGCTCCTGGGGACAAGGAGGCGCAGACGGAGAAGGCGGCCGTCAAGGCACTGCTGGGCGAAACGATTGACGACAAAACAAAAACCCGGCGCGTCATCGAACGGTCCGCAAACGTCACCGAAGATGACGTTTTCGCCCGTGACTTTGACGACGCACCAGACGTGTCGACGCTGGAGGAGTACGAGGAGATGCCGGTGGAGGAGTTTGGCGCTGCGCTCCTGCGCGGTATGGGCTGGGACGGCAAAGACCGCGGCCCCAAGGTCAAGCAGGTTGTCAGACGACCAAACCAGATGGGCCTGGGTGCGAAGGAGCTCAAAGGTGCAGAAGATCTCGGCGGCTGGAACCACAAGTCTGGTACCAGCGGCAGCTCGGGATACCGAAAGGAACGACCCCCGAGGCTGCATGACTACCGCCGTGAAGAGGACAAGCGTCGAGAGAAGCGGGAGGAGCGTTACCGGGACAGCTACAAGGCTGAGCGGGATCGCGAACGGGACGATCACAGAAACCACTACAGCAGCAGTAGCCGCCACCGCAGCCGACATGATCGGTGAAAGACTTCGTCCGAAACGGGTAGAAGATGCAGTTCTCGGGGCTGGCGGGGCGCCGTTCCGCCACGTTGGCTGCTTTACCTACGTGAACTGCTCCCGGCAGTCGGATACTCCGACGAATCGTCTGCACTCGAAACCTTGACAAGTCTTCTTCCGATACGTGTCCGGCCTGTGACTACTCTAGCGGCGAGTTCTGCTTTCGGTTGGCTTCCATCCGGAATCTACACAGCAAACAGATGTAACGAACACGCGACCGTCGGGTCACGTTGGGCGATGACGCTCGCACGAGGCATGACAGCTGACTCGAACGCCATCCTCTCCTCTGTTACACTTGTTGGGGGCACGTACAGGTCCAACTGCAACCTTCCATCACTTTCACACAACCACGACACTATCTTTTATAGCATCAAAGCGACCATAGAATAGCGAATTCAAACGCGCCCGGAATTTTGCACCGTCCGAGTTATGCGTTCTCACAAGCCAATATCCACATGTACGACATCCAATGGGGAGGTAAGCTACGGCTTTCATCATGTCATCATGTTGTATTTACACTTGCCGTAGTTCGTCGATTTGCTCGGCGGCAGTCGCATAAGCAGTTTCAGTGCCTCCACAGCCTCTAAATTGGCAGTTGGAGCGAGAAATTTAGCGAGTTCACAAGGGCACACTGGCACAGTCAGGGGCCGCAGTTGGCTAAAACTGCTCTACTGCCCGCTAAAACCTACCGGTTTGAATCCAACATGCTGTCCTGGCCATTGCCGCCGGATCGCGGGACCCCGTACTCGGCCCTTCCCCCGCGCAAGGGAAGGGTGTAAGTGGGTGAACTCGCCCGATTCGCCGACACCCACCCTCGCTACCTGCTCTTGCGCATGCGTACACGTTTACTCCACGCTCCGCCAAGCCAAGGCAAGACAGCCAGTTGGGCTGAGCATGTATCAGGCTGCAAGTTTTGGCTCGGGTGACCTGCCTTTTCATGCACAACCCCCATCTTTTGTTTGTTCCGCCAATCGAGATCGTGAACGTCTGGTTGTACCCTCTTTTACCCCAGAATACCATACAAAACATTGGCAGAAAGAAAGACAAAACCTATATAAGTTGCGGGCTCGGTCCTGTCCGTTCAGCTCCCGGCATACCACCAGAAAGTCAAGACGAAGCTGCTGCGTTTGGATCGCATGTGGTCCTCTCACGTACCTTCCTCAAATACTTGTTTTCGATTGTCGCTTACATAACAACCCGAGCCGTACGCCGACACCTCTGTGAACACCCAACATGGCCGCACCTTCCCCGTCGAGCGATGCCTGGTGGAAGGAAGGCACTGCCTATCAGATCTACCCGGCCAGCTTCAAAGATAGCAATGGCGACGGCCTGGGCGACATTGCTGGGATCCTCAGCAAGGTCGACTACCTCAAGGATCTCGGCGTCGACATCGTGTGGGTGTCACCCATGTTTGAGAGTCCACAGATCGATATGGGCTACGACATCTCCAACTACGAAGCGGTACACGCGCCGTACGGCACCATTGAAGACATGCAAGCACTCGTTGATGCCTGTCATGCGTGCGGCATGCGATTGATCCTCGATCTCGTCATCAACCACACGTCAGCCGAGCATGCATGGTTCAAGGAATCGCGGTCTTCGAAGGACAATCCGAAGCGGGACTGGTATATCTGGAAGCCGCCTCGGTACGCCGACGATGGAACTCGGTTGCCCCCTACCAACTGGCGCAGCTATTTCAGTGGCAGCGCGTGGGAGTGGGACGAGCACACCCAGGAGTATTACCTGCACCTGTTTGCAAAAGAGTATGTCTTTCTTTGTTCCTTTTTCTGAAGGATAGACCGTATGACGCGGCCACAGCCACGGCTAACAACGAAGGATGCCCGACTTGAACTGGGAAAGCGCCGAGACACGCCATGCCATCTACGAGAGCGCCATGCGCTTCTGGCTGGACAAGGGCGTCGACGGCTTCCGCATCGACTGCGTCAACATGTACAGCAAGCGCGTCGGCTTCCAAGACGCGCCCATCGTCAACGCAGACGTCTTCGAGCAGCCAGCCTGGTCCGAGTACGCCAACGGGCCGCGCATGCACGAGTTCTTGCGCGAGATGAACCGCGTTGTGCTTAGCAAGTACGACACACTGACCGTCGGCGAGCTCCCACACACGCCCGACCCGTGTCATGTGCTTCGGTACGTCAGCGCCGCCGACAAGCAGCTGAGCATGGTCTTCCAGTTTGACATTGTCGACATTGGTCAGGGCGCCAGCGACAAGTACCGCTTCGAGGAGTGGAAGCTGCCGCGGCTCAAGGCCACCGTCGCCAAGTGGCAGCAGTTCATCGAGGGCACTGACGGGTGGACGACGGCATTTTGCGAGAACCACGACCAGGGTCGCTCCGTGTCGCGCTTTGCGTCCGACGCACCGGAGCACCGCGTGCACTCGGCCAAAATGCTGGCTCTGATGCTGGCCGCGCTGACGGGCACCCTCTTCATCTACCAGGGCCAGGAGATTGGCATGATCAACGTGCCCACCACGTGGTCCATTGACGAGGACTATAAGGACATTGAGAGCGTCAACTTTTACCACACGGCGGCCACGGTGGCGCGCGAGAAGTTTGCCGGTGATCCGGAGACCATCCGGCGCGAGATCGAATACGTCAAGCGCAGCATTCAGATCCTTGGCCGTGACAACGCGCGCACCCCAATGCAGTGGGATGCTTCGAATAAATCCGCCGGCTTCACTGACCAGCCTGAAAAGGCCTGGATGCGCACGCACGACCTGTATCCGGAGATCAATGTGGCCCGACAGCAGGGCGACCCAGACTCCGTGCTCAGCTTCTGGAAGAGTATGCTGCGCTTCCGCAAGGCCCACGCCGATCTCTTCGTCTATGGAAACTTCCGGCTGTACGAACCTGAAAACGAAGAGACATTCGTGTTCGCCAAGACGACGGCCACGCCGGGAGCTGGCGGGGCTGGTGCCGGTCAAGCAGCAGTCGTCGTGCTCAACTTTACAAGTGAAAATCAGGTCGTCAACCTGCCACCCGCAGACGACATTGGGTCCCTCCGGCTTCGGGTTGGCAACTACACCGACACTGCGACGACCGAAGTGGAGCGCAAGTCCAGCAACAAGAGCTGGCAATTGACACTTAGACCGTGGGAGGGTCGTCTGTACATTTCGGAAGAGGAGGCCTCGAAACCATAAATATACCCAGTGCGAAAACTAGATTGGATACGAGCATTAGTACGACTTGGGTGATGGGATTTGTTGGCTTCTCCGAGAAGGGGAGACTTGTACGAAGGTAAAAGGAGGCACGAAGTAGAATAAAGAGGCAAAGGTTTTGTTTCGAATCAGCCTGTTTCATTATGTACTCTTTTTTTAAAGAAAAAAAATGAGAGGAAATATATCAAATATTTTAGCTAAACCCCCAACGAAGAAACAGCAACTTTTACTTGCATAAAGTAACTTCTCAAGTCAAAATCGAGAACAAGATCTCGCGGAATAACACGAAATCAACCTTTTGCATGCAACCAAGATAGCCCCCAGGCAGCCATATAGGAGAAAGCCGTTCTGATCGTACTCCGTACAGCCCGTGCACCAGCCTCGATACCAACCCCCTTCCCACCCCCCACTCACCAATCACGGCCCCTTGCACCAAATGGGTCGTTGTCACCCAGCTTCGCAGAAACTGTGCTTGTTTTTGCAGGTAGTCTTTCGGTGGTCGTTAAAAGGGGCCAAATGCATGTGAAGTTTGGCTTCTGCTTCTTTTCTTGGAGAGCACTTTTTTTAGTGGGGTGCCCCTTGTGTCTAGGTGGGGTAGCTTTGCCCTGAATTGGCCAAAAGACGGCCCAAAGAGGGAACTGTTACCCCTGGCCACCTTGTGCTTCTTGACCACCTTTCGCTCAACATTTTTGGCAGTGACGGTGTGCAAGCCGTTCGTTCCTACAGGGGCGGCCAGGCGAGGGGAGAAAGAGCCACCCCTGACCTGTTTCTGGAGCTCTTTCCCTTTGGCGGCGTGTGTTGGTGCGGCACAAGCGTAGCACTACCCTAACTGCCAATGTCTGTGCTTGCGAGGCGGTCAGGGCCACTTGGACGATCTGGAACTGGAAACCACCAACGCCGATTTTCTCACTTGCTCTTTCCCGCTCGCTCTTTCTTTTTGCTCCTTCGCATTTCCCCTTCTTTGGTTTATCCTTCCTCCTCCCACCTCATCCCCATCCCCTCTGTTCGCCAATTGACTGCACAATTGCCTGCAGCACACTCGTCCATCATGTCGAAAACCGGAAGCGAGTCGAGCTTCGAGTTCATTGTGACTCCGAAGCCCCCGGCTCCCACCTTTAAGACGGCCGAAGACTGCGGTGTCCCCACGACCAAAGTGAGTGACGAAGCTGCACGTCAAAAGCTCCATGCTTGCTGCCGACCCATCGAGGGCCTTCTGTTGGGCCATCGCTATAGATGTTGAACAGGAGCAAGCTCAATGGCCTCTAAACGAACCTCTACTGACCCCTCCAGTCTGCCACCATCAATAATCCCCCCCTTCCCGCCGACGGCGCCGGCAATGAGAGCTTCTCGTACACCCTGATCATCTCGGTCCTTGTCGGCGTCCCTACCTACCTGGCTTGGAAGCTCGGTGGTGGCCTCAAGACCACCATCTTCTTCGCCCTCTTCACCACCATCCCTCTGCTAGGCAGCTACTGGATCCTCATCTCGACGCTTAGCCCTCGTGCCAACGAGAAGGCCAAGCTCCCCGGCCGCCCCATTGAGCACTACCTCACCTTCAAGAAGCCCGCCGACCAGGCCAAGTACCATGGCAAGACCAAGATCGCCATGGAGACGTTCCACGAGATGTACTTTGACGGCGACGTCGATTTCAACGGCGACGCCCTGGAGGTCATGGAGTACCGCCACGACTGGGCCTCGTTTAACCTCACTGTGCACCTGATCAAGTACTTTTTGTTCGGCATGATCCCCGAGCTCCTGCTGCACACCAAGAGCCAGGGTGGGTATTGCGCGCTCCTGCTACTGGCATTTCCGTCGTAACCTGGTCGTTTACCTCTGCTAACACACTCCAGACGAGGAGCAGGTCCGCGACCACTACGACCGCGGCGACGACTTCTACGCCTGGTTCCTCGGCCCGCGTATGATCTACACCTCTGGTGTGATCTCCGACCCGACCATCGAGGAGTCCCTTGAGCAGCTCCAGGACAACAAGTTGGCCATTGTCTGCGAGAAGATTAACCTGCAGAAGGGCGACGCCCTGCTCGACATTGGCTGCGGCTGGGGTACGCTGGCCCGCTTCGCCTCCGTCAACTACGGCGCCAACGTCACCGGTATCACTCTCGGCCGCAACCAGACTGCCTGGGGTAACAGGGCTCTGCGCGAGGTTGGCATCCCCGAGGAGCAGAGCAAAATTCTGTGCATGGACTACCGTGAGATCCCCGTCCCCGAGGGCAAGTACAAGAAGATTACCTGTCTCGAGATGGCCGAGCACGTCGGTGTGCGCCACTTTGGCGGTTTCGCCCGCCAGGTCCGCGACATGCTTGACGACGATGGCGTCTTCTTCCTCCAGATTGCCGGTCTCCGCAAGTTCTGGCAGTTTGAGGACTTCACTTGGGGTCTGTTCATGAACAAATACGTCTTCCCGGGCGCCGACGCCTCGACACCCCTGGGCTGGGTCGTTGACCAGCTCGAGGGTGCCGGCTTCGAGATCAAGGACATTGACACCATTGGCGTGCACTACTCCGCCACCCTTTGGAGATGGTACCGTAACTGGCTCGGCAACCGTGACAAGATTGAGGCCAAGTATGGCAAGCGCTGGTTCCGCGTACGTCTCCCCGCGTTTGTTGCACAATTCCTAGTATATGGACACATCGCTGACAATTCGTAGATCTGGGAGTTCTTCTTGGCCTATTCGACCATTGCGTCTCGCCAGGGCTCCGCTACCTGCTTCCAGATTGTGCTGGTCAAGAACATCAACTCGACCCACCGCATCAACGGTGTCCCCTCGCAGTTCGGCCTCTCTGGCGCGGAGGCCCACACCAAGGCTGATCTTTCCGCCTGGGCCAAGACCGAGGCCGCCAACTTCCCGTACGCCACTGCCCAGTAAATACGCAGCGAGTATTTCGGGGGGTGACAGCTCGGATTGGTAGAAGGTTGAAGCCCGTGGAAATATCAATTGTGGGCCCGGCCTTTCCCGAACATGACGGACAGCAAGAGCAGTGAGGCTCTTGCACGTACGTGTAGACATATTGCCGCAGCAGAAGTGCCATGCCGTTGCTACACGTCCGCGGATTTCTCATCCTGCAAACAGACAAGAATCAACAAGGAGAGAGAGAAACAAAAGACAAGAATTACGGCGGGAGTACGAGCGGGCACGATTGTGCTTCACAAACTAAAACGAAGGGTAGAAGGGCAACGTGGAGGCAGAGCCTGAGCAAAGTATGCCAGAGCGTACGAATATGAAGGGAGGCTTGTTATGCCAGCGCGCATTGGGCAGCGCGTGCGCCATTATTTCCAAACATTTTCGATAGTGGATTTGCAAACGGTTACGAAGTATTGACACGAAATCGATATGGGAGTAATAATAGAAAAAGGGATGGTTATGAAAAGTGGCGGTGGATTAATTACCATGTAGCAAGAATTTCAAAATCGAGTCAATTTGGCTTGAACGAGTGGAGTTGATGTTTTCCAGTGAAGCTTGTGCGGCCTGGGGTGCTTGGAGCCCTGTAAAGTGGTACCTGATCCAGACTAAAATTAGCCACGGCTTGGAGAGCCCGACGCGCCAAAACACACGCATCATCATTTGACGTATGAAACATCCTCCTCTGCACATCGGTTCACAACGCCAGCAGAACAAGTCCTACAGATGGAATGGCTGCAGCTTGGAGACACAAACGGATCGTCTGCTATGTCAGCAAAGCAGCATCTACACATATCCTCCCCGGCGTCCGACCAAGAGCGGCCTCCATAAAAGTAAGGGAGTCGCTTCCGCGCTCTCAATCGACAGCATCGCCGCCGCGGCCGCTTATCTACCCCGACCAGCCGCGGTCTGTAAAGCACAACGACCTGTCGTCATTTCTCCGCTATGCTGAGCGCGCTGGGCTGGACACCGGGTCGACGACCTATGTAGGCACACACTATGAGTACACCGTGGCCGACCACCTGGCGCCGTTGGGCTTTTCACTGCGGCGCGTCGGCGGCGCATCGGATCGTGGCATCGACTTACTCGGCACATGGGCGCTACCCATTCCCCAAAGTACCTCGGAGCCATCCCAGGAACCTCTCCGGGCGATCGTCCAGTGCAAGGCAGGAGCCGGCCAACGCGTCGGCCCGCACCTCGTGCGTGAGCTGGAGGGAGCGTTCATCGGCGCACCCGTGGGCTGGCGGTCACGCGTTGGCAACAGCGATAGTTTAGGTGGACACGAAGGCGGAAACGGAAATGGAAGCTGCCTGCCCGTCATCGGGATACTTGTGACCGAGAAGCCGGCCACAAAGGGCGTCCGGGACGCGTTGTCGCGCAGCCGCTGGCCCATGGCCTACATATACTGCGCAAGCGCGGGCCACGTGCGACAAATGCTCTGGAACCAGCAGGCGGAAAAGACCTGTGGTCTGACTGGATTGGGGGTCACACTTCGGCACGCTTCCGACGAGTACGAAGGCGCTTATGCACACATTGTCCTTACCTGGCAGGGTAAGCCACTTCCGGCTGCCACCGAGCAAGACTCATGAGCGGTTGTTTATTGCATAAGCTGGCGCTGTGATAATCTAATCATTCTCCGGAAACGGTGTCGGACTGTCTGGCGGTGGAAAGCGGGCACAGAAAACAAACAGCCGGCATCATTCGCAGATGGATCGAGGATCTGGATGGCACAAAAATTCGCAAGACTACCAGTCTCAGGCCGATTTCCACCGCTACCTTCCCTACTCTCTCAAAATAATCAAGGGCCGGTGTGTCCCTAGGAAGCTTGACCAACGCCAAAAGCACTACCCCATTCGCCCTGACGGCCTTCTCTTCGTGCCGCAAGTCGCTGCCGGTCCATTTGCTCACGAGACTGCGCCTAGTCGTCCCAGATGGCTTTCTTGGCGCGGTCGGCCTCTTCCTGCTGCTTTTTCTCGGCGGCCCGGCTATCCTCGCGGCGTTTACGCTCGGCCTCTCGCAACGACTTTTCGTATGCCCTTTGCTCATCGGTCATCCGCGGTGCACGGATGCCCAGAGCGCCGGCGATCAGCCGCCGTGCCACGGCATCCGTCTTTTCTGGACGACGCTCCGGCCCTTCATTGCCGCTGCCAGCACTACTAGATGGTCCCGAGTCGTTCCAGTTGGCTGACAGTGGTGTGTTGCCGCCGAACGTTGTCGGCCTGGAGGACGAGCTGTGATAGCTGGGCGTGCTGGGCGTGGGTGGCGGTGCTGTTGTGCCGGCCGGTGGTGTCTTGGTAGGCGGCGTAGATGCGGGTGCTGAGTCGTCATTGTCATCTGACGACACTTCCTCGTCCTCCCACGAGTCGGCCACCTCCTGCTTCTTTTTCTGTTGCTTCTTCTGAGCGATCGCCGCAGCGACTGCCTTTGGTTTTGATGCTGCCGGTTTGCTAGCAGCGTCGGCCGAGTTGCTCTTCTCCGAGTCGATCGTCAGCCTACCAACGGACGAATCGAGGTCAGCCGCTCTGTCTTTGGGTGCCATGATGTTTGTGGTGTTGGTTTGCGAGGACAAAGAAAAAGTAAGTTGTCGGAGGTGGAAGCCCAGTTAACACGAAGCTTTCAAGCTCGGGCAATTATGTATCATATAATTTTTTTTTTTTTTGGCTCTCCAATTGCTGCCAGCCTTTGGTTTTTTTCCGCCCTTTCGCTTGACCTATGTCAGAACGGCAGAGCTTGAGACAACGGTCTGGATGCAAAGGTAAACTGGTTTGATGGGCGCTCGTGATCTTGGCGCGGCTCTAATCGAGATGATTGACAGTCTGCCAGGGGTCGCAGGGATGTTGTGCAAGATGATGGAGAGTTCCTTCTAGAACTGTTAGCATTTGGACAGAGAGCATGAGTGGTGGCTCGTCCAGTAACGACGTTGGGAAGGCGCAAAACGCAAGACAGTGGAGGTTGGTCGTTGCCTCATGTCTTCTTTCCTCTTTCTTGTCAATGGTTTTGTATGCAGAGTATTTACAGGCGGGGCAGGCGCAATGTAGAGAGCTCCAATCGTAGCGTCGTTCCTTCCCCGCGAACTCTGCGCACCATGGCTTCGCGCCTGCCACAGTGGGTGTTCTCTGCCTAGTAAGCGGGCTGCTCCAGCCGCTCGGTTATACTGATATCGCCGTAGCGGGCTCCGCCGAATCTCAGGAACTGTTTCTCTGGGCTCATGGTCGCCTCATTTCCCCCGGGTTTTCGCGATCTGCTATTTTTTGAATATCTCGGAGTCATTTCATGTTGGTTATCAAAAACCATGTTGGACTCAGCTGCTGTTCTGTTTGTCGTAGCCAACTCTGTGGTATCGCTCTGGTCACGTGAGCTCCTGGATGCCCCTTCCTGTCTTGTTCTGACGATCGAACGACCTGTTGACATCCAAAATCGTTAAAATAATAAAACTCTCGTCATCGTCTTCATTTTCCCTTCTTCCTTGCCTCACCACAGGACGCGCGTGACAGTTGCCTGCGCTCAACCACCGCCATTTCGGAGCTTGGCGGCTAACAGTGGCTCCAGCTCGGTTTGTATTATTAAGGCGATAGCGCTCACTCACAGTGGCAGCCGGCGATAGCGGAGCCCAGACCTGTCGCCACGGCTCAGGCCAGCAAAACGGGAAAAAAAGTCGGCTTCGCTCAACTTCCACGGCACTATCCAGTGCTTCCCACAATCGAACTCAGCCTTCTACCTCGAGCACCAGCACCCGTTCCCATCTCCTCGTCCACGGCGTGTACGAACGGCGGCCCGGAGCTGTATATCCTCTTTCTTCGTTTGCTCGTGTTTTTTTCATTCATCCACCAATTTCGTTTAGTTTCTTCTATTCCCCTTTTCTCTTTCTACGGACGGGATCTGCTTGTGGCCGTTTGATTTCTCAGCCGAGCCCTCGAGCTCACTCTCCCACCCATTGACCGCCCATTATGCTTCGACAACATGCCTCGCGGCATCTCCTAGCCAACACTGCGACTCGCTGCGCCCGGCCTGCTCACATCCGCCTTCTCTCGACAACACCCTCATCCTCGTCCCGACCACGGCTAGCTACCGCGCCATTGTCATCACGCCTCTCACCACAGGCCACGGCCCTCCTCATTTTCCCCCGGACGCCGTCGTTAAACGCGGCACCCTTCTCAACATCGCCCACCCAGCTAAAAAAGGAGCCGCGTGGGTTTTTCGACGCCGCCGGCAACGCAGAAGAAGACGCCAAGAAAAAGGCGAAAGAGGAGGAGGGAGACAAGGACAAGGCTGACCAGAGCAAGTCGACCGAGGTTGAGGCAGCAAAAGACTCTGAGGCTGAGCCGTCCAAGACCGAGTCAGATTCCAAGTCGGCTTCCAGCAACCAGGAATCTTCCTCTGACGGCAAGCCAAGCAGTGCAGCCTCGTCTGGCGGCGCGGCTGGCAGCTCTTCCGGAAGCGATGGCGGATCGAGCGATGGCGGTAAGAAAGGCCGCAAATCGAATGCCGACAAGGCCCTCCAGAAGCCTGTTGTACCCGAGGTGTACCCCCAGGTGATGGCCATTCCTATCGCGAAGCGACCACTCTTCCCTGGCTTTTACAAGGCTATCACTATTAAGGACCCCAACGTTGCCAGCGCCATCACCGAGATGATCAAGCGTGGTCAGCCGTACGTGGGAGCCTTTTTGTTCAAGGACGAGAACGCCGACGACGACATAATACACAAGGCGGACGATGTCCATGATGTGGGTGTCTTTGCTCAGATCACCAGCGCGTTCCCGCTTCATGGCGAGGGCGCCACAGGTCTCACGGCCATCCTATACCCACACCGCCGTATCCGCTTGTCGACCCTCATTCCGCCAGGGTCGGGGAGCAGCATTGGTGTTAGCGAAGCGAGTGTCGCGGACGCCGACAAGACCGATTCCACCGACCTGGCGGACGGGGGCCCGCCCGTCCCGGAACCTATCCCTGCGAAACCGACTGACGAGGAGGCGCAGCGTGAGAAGAAGGGCGACGTTGTGGCCAGCTTTGAGGAGGGCGCTGTGACGGCTAACCCCAAGCGCGACGCTCCGGCTGTCCAGAAACAAGAGTCACATACCGCCCAGTACGAGCCTACGTCCTTCCTGCGCAAATTCAATGTGAGCCTCGTCAATGTCGAGAACCTCACCGAGGAGCCGTTTGACGCCAAGAGCCCTGTTATCCGCGCCGTGACCAACGAGATCGTCAACGTTTTCAAGGAAGTCGCGCAGATGAACAGCCTGTTCCGCGACCAGATCTCTACGTTCTCCATGAGCCAGTCGGCCGGCCATGTGACGGCCGAGCCTGCCAAGCTGGCCGATTTCGCGGCTGCCGTGTCGGCGGGCGAGCCGGCCGAGCTGCAAGAGGTGCTGTCGAGCTTGAACGTCGAGGAACGCATGCAAAAGGCGCTCGTCGTTCTCAAGAACGAGCTGATGAACGCCCAGCTGCAGTCCAAGATCACGCGCGAGGTTGAGAGCAAGATCACCAAGCGCCAGCGCGAGTACTGGCTGATGGAGCAGATGAAGGGCATTCGCCGCGAGCTGGGCATTGAGTCTGACGGCAAGGACAAGTTGGTGGAAAAGTTCAAGGAAAAGGCCGACAAACTGGCCATGCCCGACGCCGTCCGCAAGGTCTTTGACGACGAGATCAACAAGCTGGCACACCTCGAGCCGGCTGCATCCGAGTTCAACGTGACTCGCAACTACCTCGACTGGCTCACGCAGATTCCCTGGGGCCAGCGGAGCGCCGAGAACTTTGGCATCCACAATGCCGTTACCGTCCTGGACGAGGACCACTATGGCCTTAAAGATGTCAAGGACCGCATCCTGGAGTTTATTGCCGTTGGCAAGCTCCGTGGCACGGTCGAAGGCAAAATTCTATGCTTCGTGGGCCCGCCCGGTGTCGGCAAGACGAGCATCGGAAAGTCTATTGCACGCGCCCTTAACCGCCAATACTACCGATTCAGCGTTGGCGGTCTGACGGACGTCGCCGAGATCAAGGGCCACAGACGAACGTACGTCGGTGCCCTACCGGGCCGCGTCATCCAGGCGCTGAAAAAGTGCCAGACGGAAAACCCGCTGATCCTGATTGACGAGATTGACAAGATCGGCAAGGGCTACCAGGGTGACCCGTCCTCGGCGCTGCTTGAGCTTTTGGACCCGGAGCAGAACAGCTCCTTCCTGGACCACTACATGGACGTCCCCGTTGACCTGTCCAAGGTTCTGTTTGTCTGCACAGCCAACATGACCGACACGATCCCCAGGCCACTTCTGGACCGCATGGAAGTTATCCGGCTGTCGGGCTACGTTGCAGATGAGAAGATGGCGATTGCCGAGCGCTACCTGGCACCTGCCGCGAAGGAGATGGCCGGCCTGAAGGGTGCTGATGTTACGCTCAGCCAAGACGCCATTGACGAGCTCATCAAGTCGTACTGCCGCGAATCGGGTGTACGCAACCTGAAGAAGCAGATTGAAAAGGTGTACCGCAAATCGGCCCTCAAGATTGTCCAGGACCTTGGTGATGAGCCATTACCGGCTGCTGCCGCCGCCCAGGAGGCGCTTAACAAGGAAAAAGACGATACCGAGCCTGTCACCGCTGCCGATGAGACAGCGGCATCCGACGTGGCTTCAGAGGACGATACGGGCTCGACGACATCCGCAACATCGGACACGAGCGAGTCCACCGCAGCCACCGAGACATCCGAGGACAGCACGGCGGCGACAAGCAATACCACGACAGACAAGCCCCGGAAACCGTTGGACGTGCCCGAGTCGGTGCACGTCGTCATTGGCCGCGAGAACCTCAAGGACTACGTGGGTCCTCCGGTCTTCACGTCAGACCGCCTGTACGATGTCACGCCGCCCGGCGTCACCATGGGTTTGGCGTGGACGCAGATGGGCGGCGCCGCCATGTATGTGGAGACGATCCTGCAGTCGGCGCTGCGGCCGAGCAGCCGCCCGTCGCTTGAGATTACGGGCAACATCAAGCCCGTGATGAAGGAGTCGTCTACGATTGCCTACTCCTTTGCCAAGGCCATGATGGTCCAGGAGTTCCCGGACAACCACTTCTTTGACAAGGCCAAGCTGCACGTGCACGTGCCTGAGGGCGCTGTGCAAAAGGACGGCCCTTCAGCTGGTATCACGATGGCCACATCGCTGCTCTCGCTGGCGTTGGACCACCCGATCGACCCGACAGTGGCCATGACGGGCGAGTTGACGCTGACAGGCAAGGTGCTGCGCATTGGCGGTCTGCGTGAGAAGACGATTGCAGCGCGGCGGGCAGGCTGCAAGATGATTGTGTTCCCCGAGGACAACATGTCGGACTGGCTGGAGCTTCCTGAGGTACGCCGTATCCCCCCTCCGTGAATTCTTTAAAGCGTCTATTTTCTTTTGGTGTTCCCCGCTAACAATTCCAGAATATCAAGGAAGGCATTGAAGGCCGCCCCGTCAGCTGGTACTCGGACGTGTTTGGCATCATCTTCAAGGACGTTGACCGAGAGCAGGCCAACAAGTGCAAGATCTGCGAGTGGAAGAAGCTGCACGACAATGAAGACTCGAGCAAGAAGGACGAGGAAGACTAAATGACGAGAAATTTTCCAACCAAAAAAAAGAAAAAAAAAGAAAAGAAAAAAAAGACAGAAAAGAAACCGGACGAAAAAGCGGGGTGCGGGGCGGGTTTATGTCTGTCTTGTGTATGAGTAGGTAAAGCGACAGTGAATTTGGGGGCCAGGGGCAGAAACGGATCTGGGGTTGATGAGGTCTGATGGAGTGTAAAAAGGGGATAGCATGTTGCTGCACTTGTCTGTCTTGCATCTCTCCAACTCTTTACATCTTCCTTGGCATTTTTCATTGGGCGGCATCTCCATTTGTCCATACATCTGTACTTTTGCATATTGTGCATCCAGGCCGCATGTGGGCGGCCACTCTCTTCAACTTAAATTTGGCCAGCAGAATGGTAGCTGGCTGGGAGCAAATTTAAATGCTCTAGCACGAGGCACTTTTGTGGGATTGTATTTTGGAATTTCTTTTTCATTTTAATTCTTCTTCGGTTTATTTTTTGCCATACAGCATCGTCGAAACTTGACGGACGACTCTCCCCTTACATACCAATAGAAACAAAAACAACTCCTGTACAAGACTTTATCTAGCTAGTACCAATAAAATGCACTTCTTCGTCTCAGATTCGTTTCTTTCTTTGTCGTGAGCCGCCATGATGCTTTGCCTCTAGAGGTCCTTCACAAGACCGGCCATGGATGCTAGCATCTTCTAGACAAGTAGCACAGGGCTTGCACAGCAGGCGGACCATACAACTTACAACTATCTTACTTTTATTATGCTCAATACTTATAAAACACTAGTCCGAGGGCTTGGTCGTGTGTTTTTGGCCATTAAACAATTGTACAGAATATAATTTTCATAAAATGCGTTCAGGAAAAAAAAGTGCCCAACCGTAATCGCGCATAACAAATGGAGTCAACTGCAGCCTGACGTTCATATCTAAAACCTGATCTTAAATAGCCATAAGGAAGCTACGCCTTGGCACACTTCTTTGTCGCTTCGCCAGTGCCCTCGCATCATTGTTTTGCTGTGTTGTTCTTTCTTGACGCGGGGTGTCGTTGGTTCCTAAAAACAGCGCTGTCAGCGGGAGCGTCCGCCAATAACAGCGGATCATAATGGTTCGCTCCGGGGTACGGGGCGGTACTTAACGTGCAGCAGGATGCCCCCAATTTTGACGCTATTGTCCCACCAGTTGCATGTACCCCGGTGTCCCAGTTTGCTGGTGCAGCATTTTCGCCCGTTCGTTGCCGTCGCCTGGCTGGCACTAGCGGCCGCGGCGTCGTTGGCGCTAGGCTGTTTGGCTGTGTCCTAAGAGGAGTTGTTCAGGGCTTCAACGCCAACGAAATATGCAGGGCTCGCCATAGCCGTAAGATACATCGTAAGGCCGCAACGGTGCTCGTTCTGTCCCCTCTCTGGCGGCCGTCACCCCAGTGGTGCTTTTACACGTGTGCGGGCTCCACCCCACCTTTTAACCACCGCGAAATGGTTCATTCCTCCCCAACCCCCTGTCGTCTCCTGCTTCTTGCTAGTTGTGGCTCCGTTGTGCCTTGTCCCTTGGTCTCATTTTTCATGACCTCTCCCCAGCCTTTTTCGTCTTTCCAACAAAAAACTCGTGCGTAAAAAATATTTGGGGCGGGCCGAGCGAGTATGTTGTCTCTGTGCTCCGTACGACGTACTTTTTGTCATACACCATATGCCGTATGACTGCTTGCGCCCTCGGACTGTGTTTTGCGAGCAGAAGGCGAGCGAGACAATGTGCAACGGAGCCAGGCGCCTACATGGATCCCGGCCAGCCATGGCCCGGGTGTGGTCACGACATGCGTCGTCCCGGGCAAGATACAGTACCCTGTGCCCGTATGTTGTGCACTGTGCGGTTATCTTACATTGAGAAAATGGAACCCGGCAAGCCCAGGAATTGGTGTTGCATCGCACTTGCTGTTCTCGCTTCGCCGACCGACTTGATGTTTGTTCCTTCTAGCCAGCCTCTTGCCAACCTCTTTCCGTTGGCTCCTGCCTCCTGCAGCAACTGAACTAGGAAGGATGGGGTCGGTAATTACGAGCGAAACAGGAATAGAAGGGAAAGTGCAGAGGGAAAGGGGAAAGAACATTCCACCGACAAAATTCTCAATGGGCCATTTGAAATGGGTTCGCAAATGCCGTACCTTCCCTTTTATGGTCTCATTTTAATGCTGCCATTGTCGTGACTCCTTTTCTGTTTCTAGCTTCCTCTTCACTCGAATCCTTTCCACTTTCACATTCTCATTGCCAGCACCTCTTCCTCGCACCCGTGATATCTCCCTCCTCAACTGCTGCGTGTCTCGAGCTTTGATGGCTTCCTGTAACTCCCGTCCGCCAATCCGCCGCTCGCATCTCACCTTTTCTCCGCTTACTACCCGACTTTTTAAGCATTATCTCCATTTTCGATTTTTTTTTGTTCACACCCATCCATCTCTCGCGCGGTACATTGGCACATTGGCTAACGCCCCACGGTTCGCGTCCGCCCTGCATTTTCTGAGCTTTTGAGCGTATCGATCTGCCACTCAATATTACGTTTTGGGATTTATATCTGCTCTTGTGCTCTTTTGATCGATTTGACCACACCCCGTTTCTGTACATGTCACCTTCTTTTCGGTCCCATTGCCCCTTGCCCTTCTCCCCCTTCTCCCCAATCACTCTTGTTTTTGGTTGCCTTGAAGGCTTGAATGCATTTCTGCCCAAATTGTGATTTACGATCTCTGGTACGAATTACCTGTACGGAGTACTCCGTACGCGCACCACCTGCAGTACGCCCGCAGCCCCATCTTTTGCACGGCCGAAGCGAGACATATACGACGGCAAGGCGCGTTTGAGCACTTCCAATCCCTCCCACGACTATCTCATCGACTGGTCGTGTTGCTCCTGTTCGCCAGGCATCCGCAGCTTAGCGGCCCCAGCCAAGGCGGTCTTCGCATCAAACAACCAGGCAAGGCGAGACCCGTGGCCGTTTGGCCGGCCTTTGCAACCCGTCATCGAGCACCAGTCGATTTTGCAAAGTACGAGCGGGCGGTGCACGCCCTACCTTACCGGCCGACCAGCCTGATTGTCGTTCTCGCAGAATGACACCTTTGTCTTGCTCTCGGATGAAAGGCACGAGACAAGCTTGAAGCACACGAGCGAGACAAAGTGTGAGAGGGAGCCAAAAGAGAGATATAGTTGGCGCCAACAGCTCCAGTCTTTTCGCGCCCGGTTTGCGAAAACCAGGCCCAAGCTCCTGTGCGCTGCTGCACGAACACACACCCCTGTCGATTTTCCACTTTGTCAACCCCGTTTTCTGCGCGCCAGCCGAATTGAACAAAAGCAAAAGCAAAAGCTGTGAAGACGGAGGCCGTCTTGTTTTTCACCGACAAGGTAAAAGGCACGACCTGCCAGTGCCGTTTTGCAACGACCAACCGACATCTTTATATTCTGATTCTGTCTCAGAGACATACCTAAACACCTCTCTTCTCACCTTGGGGCCTGTCAACATCCATACAGAGCGATAAAGCAAAAGCACGCTGCACGCTTCACGCGAGGAAACGTCCGCCGCACCTTGCCGATTTTGCGACCTGCGACGACCCCATATATCTGCACCTAATACACCCCCTTTTCACCGCCGCCATTTTCGCACAACTTCAAAACCTGTCGGTCACCGCGTCTTGCTGCTGCCCCAGGATCCCCTTTTGTGACCTTCTTTATAGGTTGCTTTTGGTGCAGTGATTTTCTGGCTGATCACCAACCACCAGTCGGAAATGCCATTATCGCTGCCGTTTTATGTGGAGTAACACATGTACTGCTTCAACCAGCCCTTCTTCCACCGGCCGCCTCTCTCTTCAATATTTTGTTTATTTTCGTTAACCCTTTGCTTTCGTCCGAGCTCACTTCAATTGTTGTCTTTTGAGCTTGAGATTTGGCCTTGCACGCCCCTACTCCATATTCAACCCTCCCACAACTCATCTGCTTTCTCATCATCCTTCACTTGCCAGCATCACCGTTTCTCACTTGCTAGACCGACCGCTGGCTGACACGATTGTCAGACCGCCAAACATCCATCCCGCGTCTCATCGCGGGCCCAGGCCATAGCAACGCATCCACCATCCGTCCAGAAGTGTTTACTTTTCGTTACCAAACTTTTACGCTGGCCGCCTTCCAGACGCCGCTCCGTGCATAGCTTCACGGTTGCTGAGGCGGCAGCAGAAGTGCCATTTGCCTCTGTGCCTGGCAGCGGCGACCTCATGGCTCATCCAACTTTGCTGCCGAACGAGCTTCAGGCTGGAAGTCTACGAACAGCCCCATTGGCCTCATCAGTCCCCCCGGCGTCTCCCACAAAAAGCATATGGAAGAGACTATTGAATCGCAGTGCGAGTGCTCACCCGGGAGAGCCGGTACAATGCCCATCTGCTGAGCTGCCACAGTCCGCTTCTCCGGCGGGACTACCATTTGCACAAGAGCCCACAGCTCGGAAACTAGAGGCGAGTGGACCATTAGATCCGGCGCAAGACGGGCTGGGTGTCGGCCACGATGATCAGCTACCTAGCAGCTCCAACGCCGAAGTACCTGCCGCAGATGCGGACGGTGGCATTGCTACCAAGACATCTAGCAATAGTCGGCGAGCTCCGCACCGCGATGTTGTTCCTGGCTTGCCTCGTACGCAGACTTTTGCTCGACAGCAATCTGAACTGCGCGGAAATCTGATGCCGATTATCCCTACCTCTGCTGAGCGGCGGGGTGTGTCAGCAGACCGGCGGTTGACGCGGAGCGTATCATCGCCCACGAGTTCCCAAATTCTCTCAGACCCTCGCACCAGCGCACCCAATGTTTCGTACCGTCCACAACCGGGCGTATCCGATGCGGCGAAACCAGCAACTGGCGCACCCCAGGAAGAAGTTGTGCCACCTGTTCCCACAATTCCTTCGTTGACAGCTACTGTGGCTTCTAGTGGGCAGCCACCAATAAGTAAAGCTGAAACAGATGACACTACAGCTGTCACAAGCGGAGACGGCGTGATCCATGGCGACGCCGCTCCTGCTCCCCAGCCTGCCGCATCAGGAGGCGACAATGACTGTGGGCCATCAGACGCACACTCTATGGCCGGAAACATCGCCAAGGAGAAAGAAGAGACCTTTCATATTGACACGGCATCTATGACCTCGTCACAGTACGAGCACCGCATTCGCTATGAGCTGGAGCATGTGTGGATTCTCAACTTGTCGATGCACTTCCGCGACAAGTCCAGGCGCGAGAAATTCTTCGTTACATATCGACAGCGGCCCGACCTAACGCGTCGGGTAACCATCTCCCTCGACTACCGCAACGCTCCAGACGGCTCACTCGAGATGGATCTCCTTGACACCAAGCTTCAACGAGACAAGAACGAAATGATCTATGAAGCCATCCGCGAGAGCCTGGCCGACATTCAGTTTTACAACACCGTGACAAATCTTAAGTTGCAGACGACTGATGGCCGGCTGCATGTGCACGTGGTTGAGGATACTACTGTTCGTCCGAGCTCCCATCCTCTCCCATCTTACTTTATATGAAACCTCTTACTGACGCACCGTGCTAGGAGATTATTGACTACCCTTCGGCCCAATTTGTGCACCACTTGGGCTGCCGCAAGATTCGGGAGTCTGACGTTGAATTTGACTCTCACATGTCCGGCTTCGTATACAGGGTCCGTGTCGACGGCCGGGTCCTTATCAAGAAAGAGATCCCGGGGCCAGATTCCGTTGACGAGTTCTTGTATGAGGTCAACGCCCTCAATTTTCTTCGCGGGTCCCAAAATGTCATCGAGCTGTACGGTGTCATTATTGGCGACGACGACCGCGTCCGCGGCCTTCTCATCAGCTACGCCGAGCAAGGTGCTCTGATTGACATCCTGTATGAAAACAACCACGGGATTCCTTGGTACACGCGCATGAAATGGGCCCGTCAGATCGTTCATGGACTGTCTGAGATTCACGAAGCGGGATTTGTTCAGGGCGACTTCACTCTTTCGAACATTGTCATTGATTATGATGGTAACGCCAAGATCATTGACATTAATCGACGTGGGTGCCCTGTCGGATGGGAGCCACCTGAGGCCACCCCTCTGATCCAAAGCGACCAGCGCATTTCGATGTACATTGGCGTCAAGTCGGATCTCTATCAGCTGGGCATGGTGCTCTGGGCACTCGCAACACAGGAAGACGACCCAGAAGCCCACGGACGACCTCTGCTCCTGGGCGACGATGTCGGCGTGCCACAATGGTACCGAAGCATTGTGGACACCTGTCTTGCCGAGGATCCTCGGGAACGGTCGCAAGCTCTTCAACTTCTCAGATATTTCCCGCGGCTCAGCACACACTTTGACGACAGTGATTACGAGGACGACTGGGTCCATGGGACGCATCATCACCATCCGGCGTTTTATGCCCACAGTGCTCCGTCCGGATCGGTTGACGACGGATCCAACTCGTTCCGCAACAGGGCGGCTGAGCTCGGCAGTGTACCTTCCGGCGACGACCATGGCGACGATATCGCTGGGCAGTTTATAGAAAGAGAGCGGCCCGATTTCATCGTTGACAAATTCACGAGTTTGACACCGGTCATCCGCGATGTGACACCAAGCAACGACTGGGCGTACGTAAACAATTTCGGCCACACGTATGTGTCCCCCTCAAATGGGGTTTCCAACGAATCATACTACTACCCTACAAGAGGCCGGTCTCCGCCCAGAAAGTCACATTCTGCCTCTGGCCGACGAGGCGGATCTTGGGTCAGAAAGGAGTCTCTGGAGCACCAAACGTTGGCCGCAGATGCACTCCATCTCAAACAGGCCGAGTCCTCGCCATACCGGAGCAGTCTCCCTAGCAGCGAACCTCCAGCTTTGTCGGATTTGAAAGACGAAGGTGTTCGAGTGGGGGAAGACGCTGAGGTGCCTGATGACACGGTGGACGCAGACACGAAGGAGGGTTCAGACTTGGAGGTTGTGGCGCCTGGTCACGAGGAGGCTGCCGATGACGTGGCTGTTGATATAGCGACTGGTGACAACGGCGCAGCACACACTGCGTCCCCCGAGACAGACGTGCAGCCCCTCGTTATCAAGGCAAGTGTTTCGAATAGCAGCGACGCCAAGAGCAAGGACGTGACTGTACCAAGGTCGCCTGAGCGTCCCAGCGAGTGCCACTACAGTCTTGCGAACGGGGCTCTTGCACACGAGGTCGTACCCGTCGATACTGCAAACAGCCTGGAAAGGAGCGGCCCTGACAGCAAAATATCGGATCAGATCAAAGGTGTCGGTGCCGTCTATGCAGACGAAACGGCATTCCCCCGCCACATGAGCTTGGAGCACGACGAAGAAGATAAGGACGCGGATGATGGCCATGATGCCAACGAACTAGAGGCGGTTCCTGCGACCCAATTCCAGGAACGATAATGAATATGAACAAACAATGGGACCAATTACGTTTTATCGGGCTTTTTGGAACATGTTAATCCCCCCTCCCTTTTTGGGGTTATCGGATTTCTTCTCCTGTATTTCTCTGTTTTCACAGGAAGCTCGTTTGGGATTTGCTTTTTCATTGGAGTTTTTTTCCCCCGGTTAATGATTTGGGCCTATTTATTTTTGGATAAATCTTTGGACATTAAGTTTTTGGCGGTGTCTTTTCTTCCGGATAAACTAACAATAGCAGCATACAAAAAAACCTAAATTTGGACACGGCTTCTTCATGAGGCCAATATCTACGACACAAAGTACCCGATTCTTCGTTCTTACATTGGCCACCTGAGCATTTACCAGTTGTGCGTCGCTGCGACACGACTGTAATTTTGAGCATGGCTTACATGATAGCAAGTGTACACCGGTACGCCTCTCGCATTTTGCGAGAGAGTCAGCGGGCAGGACCAAGCTCCGTGTTTTGTGAGGATTGCTTGTGAACGAATTGGGTGCATGTAAATTGTATCAGCCTCGCCGTTGCAAATGGAGCGCCCCCCGAGAAACGGCAGAACGGGAAGCAAAGCGGCCATTCCGCATTTAGACTAGTGTCTTAAGTCGGGTCTTCTTGTCAATCTTCTAGAAGTCAGCCGCTGTATCAGCGTCACATGCCAATACGCAGGCTTTACCATTGAGACAATAAAAAAGCAGATGAAGGATGATGCTGAAAAGCTTGTTGAAACATAACCTGAAATTAAGTGAAGAGCAAGGGGTTGAATCGTGCCATCAAAATATGCATCTTGATTGTTCGATGCGCTCGCCCCGTAAGTGATTGCGTGAATCATAGCATCAATCCGATGTGGAACCGATGTTGGAACGGAGTAGGCGTCTGCTCTGGAGCGTTTGAAATGCTGAAATACATGCTTGGTATACACCGCATCCTCCGGCGAACTATCATGCACGGAGACGGAGAAGGAACAGGTATTGTCGGACGTTCGTTATGAGCGCAAACAGTGCATCCTGGGACGTCCCAACATCTCTCATCAACACATCCTTTTTGGAAGCATCATCGTCAGCAAACCAACCAAACGCGCGGCGTCTACTATGGTGGGGTGAATCATGTGGATGGGGAAGCGTATCACGCATATATGCCGTATGACGGACGTCCTTTGCGAATGGCAGACCGCAGACCTGGTCAGCCGGCATCAAAAGGAAGCAAAGCACATTCGGAACGTCGGTGGCCGTACGGAGCCACTGTGGCATGTGAGGGAGGAGGAACAGAGAAAGTCCAGTCAGATGAAGACCACGCCGTAGCACGTTTTCGATGAGAAGCCAAGGGATACGAGCGTATTCCGTTCGTCGTAGACAGAGTTGGGACTGCGACCAAGTCAAAGGGAGCCACATGATGACAGGATCCTAGGTTTCACCGCCAGACATGTGGAGTATGTTGTACAACAGACTGCGTATGTACGAATTGTACGACTTATGCCATATGTGTACGGCATATGTAGCATGCGATTTGTGGTAGCTAATCGGATCATAGCATTGTGGGTATGGTATTACGCATGTTGCCGTTCCCTGATGAGTGAATGCAAAGAAACGTTTTGCTTTAGAACACGGTTGTTCCCCTCTTGTAAGTCATGGTTAGCGCGTCCGGTAGCGTCATAGTGGATACATATGTGTGTTAGTAAACTATATGCATTTGCATGTACCTAAACAGGGGCATTCCCGATGGGCACCAGGGGTTGGACAGGGGCCCCTCTGTAGACGCTGGGGCCAATCACAAGCTCCCACCCGCCAGCTAGTTCCCAACAGATTTCACCACCTGCGCTTGACCCCAACAAAAAAAATTCAATTGTGCTGGACGGGGAGCTGTATCAAGCTCTTTCCAGTGCAGCCTTTCGTTGCTGCCGTTGTGCGTTGGGTTTGTCCCTAGGCACAGGTGCGCTGTACTGCAAAAGATTGACACCGAGAAGACACGACATAAAGACAGTAGACCGTAGAAGTAGCAATGTCGACTTCAACAAATTCATATTTCACATGTGAACGATGGCTTTCCTGGAGTGAACGAGGGTGAATCGAAACAATAACGACAGCATTTGCTCCAATCGTATCGTGGGGCAGGGGCGTCTTGATGCGACCAAGCACTGAAAAGCAAAAAACACCATACCAACAAACAACAAGACACTGGATCGCTCCTGCCTGTCCATTGAGCACGCCTCACAGGTGGGAAGGTGCGGAGGCATGACAGTTGAATGACCAGGTCTCAGCAGTTGCCGTTGCATTCTTGCATATGCGTCAGAAAGCATCTGGCAGCGTGCTTGTCACACCCAAACATAGCTCGTGCTATGCGCCTTCCTATCGTAAGATCGTGAAGGTCCTTCCCAAATGCCCAATCAACAAAACAAAACAAGAGACCAACAAACAACAACACGGAAACAGGAAACGAACGGACCTTCCGTTCCTCCGTTCATTGCCACTCGCAGCTTCCAAAGACGACAGGAACATACTGTAGTTACAACATGCTTTGTGAGCTGACAGGGAGAGAAGTAACAATACGGGCCTGCAGACAGATCCACAGGGGAGGCGTGTGAATAACTGGCCCAAACAGGAAATCCCAACATCCCGCCACCGCGCCCCAAGAATAGCCAGGAAATATCCAGCGACTCCCCGAGCTCCAAATGCTGTCCAAAGAGGCCGACGTCCAGCAGAACACACCGGAAACGCCTGCCCATATGCAAGCCTACCTCGGTCAGGGCTCTCCCCATTGAGCCATTGTTGTGCAGTCGACTCAACCGAGTAACCTGCCCCTTCCGCCTTCTCGCACCCCCAAAGCTTTGTTGTCTTGCGTCGCTCGCCCCTTCCCACCGCTCAACCGCCCCCCCCCTGTGGTACCTGCCAGCCGAGCTCCTTCCCCATCCATATTGCCTTCTCCGTTTCCTTCCTTCCCACCGATATAAGTGCTTCCAGCCATCCTTCCCGTTTTCTTTTCCTTCATAATCTCTCTGCTTCCCTCTTCAGCCCACCTGTTATTCGTTTTTTGTATTTTTTTTTCGCTTCATTCTTCTGTCCTCTTCTTTTGCTTGCATGCTCCTTTACATGCTCGCTCACGACTCCTAAACAACAAACAAGAGGAAGCAGCCGACCGGCCTACTCTTTTTTTCTGTCTACCGATATCCCAACACTTCCTGTTTTCGGCCTCCTGGCTGGGGCTGTTTCTGGAAGCAACTGTTGCTTTGACGATACAGTCAAACACAACCATCAGCATCTCTTTCTATCCGCACAACCTGTTGGGCCGCTTTCTCTCTCCATCTCTCACACGTATCCATCACCATGTCTGGCAAGATCGTGATGGCCGATGCCACGGTTGATGGCACCACCGACTTCCAGCCTCTTCGGAGCAAGCAGTACGACATCCGGAAAACGCACATCTCCGAGACGCCCATTACCCTCAAGAACTGGTACAAGCACATTGACTGGCTGAACACCACGTTTATTCTTCTCATTCACGTCGCCGCCATGATTGCCGCATACTGGGTTCCCCTGCGGCGCAACACCCTCATCTTCGCTTTAGTGTATTATTTCAACACTGGCTTGGGTATTACTGCAGGTAAGCAAGCACCGAACCTGACAACGCCATATATATCTATCCATATTTGTACTCGGGAGATACAAAGGATGACATGCAGCTGACATTTCTCAGGATACCACCGCCTCTGGGCTCACTCTTCCTACAAGGCCACTCTCCCCCTCAAGATCTACCTGGCTGCCGTCGGTGCCGGCTCCGTCGAGGGCTCCATCCGCTGGTGGTCCCGTGGCCATCGCGCCCACCACCGTTACACCGACACTGACAAGGATCCCTACTCGGTCCGCAAGGGTCTCCTGTACTCACATCTCGGCTGGATGGTCATGAAGCAGAACCCCAAGCGCATCGGCCGCACCGACATCACCGACCTCAACGAGGACCCCGTCGTCGTCTGGCAGCACAAGAACTACATCAAGACGGTTCTTTTCATGGCCATTGGCCTCCCTGTGTTGGTTTGCGGCCTCGGCTGGGGTGACTGGGCTGGTGGCTTCATCTACGGCGGTCTTCTCCGTGCCTTTTTTGTCCAGCAGGCTACCTTCTGCGTCAACTCGCTCGCCCACTGGCTCGGCGACCAGCCGTTCGACGACCGCAACTCGCCGCGTGACCACGTTGTCACTGCCCTTGTCACGCTCGGCGAGGGCTACCACAACTTCCACCACGAGTTCCCCTCGGACTACCGCAACGCCATTCAGTGGTGGCAGTACGACCCGACGAAGTGGACCATCTGGGTGTGGAAGCAGATGGGTCTCGCCTACGACCTGAAGCAGTTCCGCCAGAACGAGATCGAGAAGGGCCGCCTGCAGCAGGTCCAGAAGAAGCTTGACCAGAAGCGTGCTACCCTGGACTGGGGTACGCCGCTGGAGCAGCTGCCTGTTGTTGACTGGGACGACTTTGTTGCTCAGACCAAGGAAGGCAAGGCCCTCGTCGCCGTTGCTGGTGTCATTCACGACGTCACCGACTTTATCAAGGACCACCCCGGTGGCAAGGCCCTGATCTCTTCCGCTATCGGCAAGGATGCCACGGCAATTTTCAATGGCGGTGTATATAACCATTCCAACGCCGCCCACAACTTGCTGTCCACCATGCGTGTTGGCGTCCTCCGCGGCGGCTGCGAGGTTGAGATCTGGAAGCGCGCTCACTACGAGAGCAAGGACATCTCTTACGTCACGGATTCGGCTGGTCGCCGCATTGTCCGTGCCGGTGAGCAGGTCACCCGTGCTGCCCAGCCGGTTGCTACTGCTCATGCTGCATAGACGCACTACTTGGTTCTCGTCTATGACCTGGCTTCGTCCTTTTTGTCTCGATCCAAGCTTCCAGTAACCGGTCCGCTGGCTAGTCGGCGTCAATCGTGATTGCCTGACCGCCAGTGCTAGAACGGAGAGAGGGGAGGCGGTTTGTTTTGTGCAGTCACGAACGCACGTTGATACGAGAATACTCAAACTACGAAACAGCCCCTCTGACCTTCATGTATGCATTTCTAAGGCGTTTCCTTCTTTACACTGATAAATTATGAGTTTTGGGAGGCTGGAGTTTTCTTTTTCACGATGAGACGCTACTTTACTTTTGTTCGCGGAATGGAAAGAGAAGACAAAAAAAATCGCTTTCATTTATCCTTTAAGGTAGATTAAAATTGTATCACCTATCTCATTCATTGTCGAAGTCAATGCTTGTGGCAAAATGGACCTCGTAGAAACAACTTACCTTTCGTCGCCTTCGAGGCCTAATAGTAATATACATGTACGATGCACAGCATGAAGGACGAAGCCGCTGCCATAAATTTGATGGCATTACTATCATAGTCCAGGCGCCTGTAATATAAAAATCATCGCGATGGTATCGGCAATGTGTGTCAAAGCCTGATGGAGAATAAAAATGAGTAGAAAAGGAAAACCACAAATAGAAAATTGCAATGGCAGTACGTCGTACTACGCACATTTGCCGTGATATATAAACCTTGAAAACCAAAGTGGCTCCCCAACTCCACGATGCCAGTTGCAACGACACATCAACTGGCTGCACACCAATAAAAGCAGTTATCCTCCAAACCCAGAAAAGACCAAAACCCATTCATGAGAGCACCGTGTTTGCCACATCCATTTCGCCTCGCGTCTTCCACCCATGGCGTCCACCCGATACACAGTCTCCTCCTCTTTACTTGAAGAGACTCCGAAGATCTTCGAGACGCTGCCGTGCAGCATCTGTCGAGCTGGCCGCACGGTGGTCCGATCGGTTCATTGACAAGTTGGAGATTTTGATCTTGCGGTTCTGGATCTCCAGCATGCGCTCCTCAAAACTGTCCTTCATAATGTACCGCACCGTCCGCACTTCGCGCGTCTGGCCCAGCCGGTGCACCCGGTCAATCGCCTGCGCCTCGGCGGCGGGGTTGTACTGCGGCTCCATGACATAGACCGTGTTGGCCGTGGTCAGGTTGAGGCCCAAACCGCCCGCCATGATTGAGACCAGAATGACCTGCACGTCTGGGTTGTCGCGGAAGGTGTCCATGGCCTGCGTGCGCGCCGTGCGCGACATCTTGCCGTCGAGGCGGCAATACGAGATGTTGTTACTGTCGAAAGCCAGCTGGATTAGGTCGAGATGCGACGTCCAGCCAGAAAAGACAACCGATTTGTACGGCGGCTGGTCCGGGTTTGCTTCGCTGAGGCGCTTCTGCTCGAGCAGCTCCGCGACGAGGGCGCGTGTCTTTGTGTGCGGGCCCGAGTAGTTGCTTTCGCTAATCGTCTTGCCCATATGGCCGGACGGTGGCGAAGGTGCATCGCCAGCTGCTCCCGACGCTCCACTACTGTTGCGGAGCAGCGCCTGGCTACCATTGCCGTTGCCATTGCCGTTGCCGCTGAAAGTACCATCCGTGACCGGCTTTTTATCGTGCACAAAACTAGCACGCCGGTGAGGTAGAGTGTCGTGCTCCACGTCTGCGCGGTCGTGGCGAATTTCGACACACGAAAACATGACCGAGGCGTTGCACGTTGGGCAGATGCCCGGCCGGTTGCTCTTGTGCGTGAGCCCGCGCTCGTTATCGGCAAAGTGCTTGACGCAATTGGGGCAGTAAATATGCATACAGGGTGTCATGTAACCAATGACATCTTCCTGCTTTTCGGAGCGAATGTCGGTCGACGTTGTGTCGTTCGAGTAGCCCAGCTTGTTCTTGCAGTGTGCACAGGTGTCATAGTCCGTGTTGACAAGCAAGTCATAGATACCGTAAGCTTGCGCCTCGGGAAGCCGCTGCTTCACCTCGCCGGATCCATCCTCGTCCTCGTCAATGGTAATAGCAGACTCGAGAGTCATGCCTTGCATCAGCTTCAGGTCGTCCTCGCTCAGCAGCTCACGGCCATGTGCACAGATGAGACGGAGGCGCAAAATAGCCTGCAAGATGTGAATGTACACCTTGCCGCCCAGCAGGCGCTCCTGGTGGCCAGTGAGCACCTGAAGCCGGTCCTTTGCGTTGCGAGAGTAGAAGTTGTAGAGGCGGCTCTCTTCATCGGAGAAAGTCAGGCGGATGATGACGTCGCTGCGTTTAGGGAGGTCGATCTTGTCCTTGAGACGCCGAAGCGTGATTGTGTCAACCAAGATGCGTAGCCGTGTCAGAATGTTCGGGTCACAGGCACGGAACGGGTTCACAATGAAATAGTTGAACTTGGAGCGGTCGTCAAAAGGCTTGAGGCGCAAAAAGGCCAGCAGCGACCCCAAGTCTTCCAGGCGGTTCTGTACGGGCGTGCCAGTTACGGCCCAGCGCCGGCTGGCCTGTAGACGGCAAATAGCCTTGAACTGGAGCGTGGATGGCTCACGGATCATATGTGCCTCATCGAGGACAACGCGAAACCAGCCAATCTCCTCGAGAGGATAATGACCCGACTTGCCGCGGCTTCTGGATGTCAGCTCACTTGAGACGGAGCCGTACGTTGTTATGACGAGATCAAAGTCAGAGAGCTCGCTAATGTCCTTGATACGGTTCTGGCCGTGGTAGATGTGGTACTTGAGCGAGTCCGGCGCAAGGTGCTGCTTTATCTGCTCTTCCCAGTTCGCAACCGTACTCAGCGGACAAACAAGCAGCGTGCCCTTTCCATTCCGCTTCAGACGCGTGAGGTCAAGCGTCTGCGGAGTAGGCGCATCAAAGTTTTGGGGAGCCCCCGGCTTCTTCTTTCTCTCGGGTGCCTTTGGTTGCATGGGCGACTGCTTGTGCCACTTCTCGGCTTGGGCTCTCGTGCTTGCAACCAGCGACAAAATGCTCAACGTCTTGCCCAGGCCCATCATATCAGCCAAGATGCCGCCAAGCGTCTCGCTGGGCGGCTGGACCTCGTTCTGTCCGGTGATAACGTTGTAGTACAAGGTCTGATTGGCGAGCGATGTCTTCTTCTGCCAGATGGATGAGCTGAGCTTTGAACCGGACTGCGCCGCCATGGGCCGTTCGCGGTGCATCATGAAGTAGAGACCCTGCTTCTGGTGGCGTAGCATCTGTGTCGTCACACTGGGGCTGGGTTCCGTCTCGGGAAGGTCCTCCGCGTTGGCCATGGAGTCGAAGACGTGGAGCACTTCAGAGCGCACCTCTTCCATCGTACGGACGGTATTGTTCATAGTCGATGCATACTGCTGTGCCGCATGCGATGGAAAGCCAGCGGCATGCATGGGTTTCGCGTCTCCATTGGCCAGCATGCTTGGGTCCTGTTGCGGGATTGCCAAGCGGACATTCGCATCGTGGCGGACCGGCTTCACCAGCTTGAAGCCAAACTTGGCGAGGCGTTTGCCAATTGCTTTTCCAAAGGACGGAGCGCCGTACAACACTAGGTCGATCTTATACGACCGTGACACAGGCTGGCCGACGACTTCGTCCTCGTTCTTACGGCGGACGGGAATTTTTGCGTCCGTCCGGAGGTGGACCTTGGCGATGTCCATGAGGGGCACAAAGCATTCAGCCGCCTTGCGGTCAAGGCTTCCGACTACCTGGCGCGTGTGATCGCACACATCAATGACGTGACTCTTTTCGTTCACCTTGCGGCGCAAGACGATCTTGACAGTTGGCCAGTACGCCGGGCCGCCCATGGCCTGCGTACCGGGTTTGGGAGCCGGTACTTGGTGGCAGTCAAAGGTCACACCCAGCACTGCTCCAAAACACACTTCTTCATATGATTCCTGGGCCTTTGTATCGGTCTCGGAACCTGAGGAGAGAATGCGTTAGGATTCGACCGCTGCCATCACACGTATTCGAAAGGGGCACCCGTAATAACATACCGTCTGTTAGATCAACTGTAACAGGTTGCTTCGCAGCAGCCACGACCATTCCATCAGGACGAGTCTTGGCCTTTTGCTCTTCTTGCTTGACACCCTGCGCGAGGATACCGTTGCTGCTCGTCTGGAAGACCGGCTTTTTATCCGTTGGCTCGCCGGTCAGCGTCTTGCGACGTTTCGGCTCGGGGACGTCCTTACGGTCCTGAACGTGAAAGTTTCGCTCGAGCATGGCTGCCATGCCGTTTGGCGGTGTGTTGGTAGCACCTTCAGAGCTAGCATAGGCGGGAGGCCCGCTCAAGTTGGAGCCCGTCAGGCCGTGGCCGTTGACTAGGTCTGTGGCGATCTGGTCACCCGACGAAAGGTAGCCGTCATCGGTGGCAGGCCCCGTGAACTGAAAAGCGAGTTCGGCCGGCGCAGCTCCACCGGCCCCAAAACCGTTAAGCGCAACAGGGACGTCATTGGTGCTGTTGAAATTGAAGGCTAGAGTAGAACCGTCCATGCCCCCCATTTGCTGAAGCGAGTTGCCGAGCATGGGCGTTGAGGTCGGTGGTGGCGGCAGATGTGAGGCGAAGGAGGGAGTAGATATGAGATGGCGCTGAGGGTCGAGCAGAGTAGCCGGGTTCCATGTAGGTAGGGCGCCGTTACTGAGCAGAGGCACTCCGTTTTGGTCAACCGCCTGCAGGTCTTTATGAGACGAGAGGTTAGCATGGAGTGCTATTCAAAGTGAGAGTCAGAGTAAATGTATAGGGAGGTGTAAGTCTGAGGTAGTATAGGCGTCTTGTACTAGGTGAGGCGTCTACATATGGTCAAGACGACATGACGTCGATAGCAGTGTACTTTGATAAGAGGAGTTCGTATGAGACGGAGGCGAGTGGGGCAAGAGGAGAGACAAGAAGGAGACAAACCATAGTCATTCAGGTGATCAGGAGGCTGATTGGAAGATGCCATGGTGAGCAAAATGGAGGCTGGGTGCCTCTATATTCAGCCGGACGCGCCCGGCGTTTTGCGGACGACAGAAGATCATGCGCCGTGCAAGGCAGACGCGGGCCAAGTGCAGGCCGAGTCGAAGAAAGTGAAAGGCGCCAGGCGAGAAGGAAGGCCGTACCAGGAAGATGAAGATAAGACAAGAAAGGAAAGGCGTCGTGTCAGAAAACTGACGACATGACCAAGACGTCGGCGATGCGGCGAGGAGATGGGATACAGAATGTGGGGACCGGTGACGGAAAGCAGGCTCCGAGCCAAGGCACGGTCTCAGCTTGCACAAGTGAACGGCGAGTAATGTGCAGCGTGAAGCAGCGGTATCATGGAGGACAGGAACAGGACGGAGGAGGAGGAGAAGACAATGCCGTGTCGATGGAGGAGTAAAAGAAGAGAGATCACGAGTATCGATGCGACGGTCAGCGAGATATGAATGTGGCACGAAGCCAAGATGGGCCGCAGGACGAAGATTGCCAAACAGCTCAAACGACGTGCAAAGGGGCTGAGAGCAGGAGAAACAACCAAAGAGCCAAAATCATCAAAAATCACAAAGCGGTTGCGTGTCTCAAAAGCCAAAAGAAAAGGTAGTTGGGTAGGTCCTAAAAGCCGGCGTGGAAGGAAGGCGACGTCGTCCGGTCCCTGCAGGCAGTGAGCTTTATCGCACCTGTCGCACCTGCCGTCAGCGAGATAGGATGGGGTCCAACCGATCGATAGGCGCTCACGAGACCTGCAGGTTGCCATCGGCGTGAAAAGGCTCTTCACGCATGTGACCACGCTATGGTGCTAGGAATTAATTAGTCAAACGCGACTTCCGCCCGAATGTCTCAGTGGGGACTGCCGCTGGTCAGGGAACTATGGTGGAAGGAGGGGAGGGAAGGCGTGAAGGGGCGCCTGGGGGGCGACGTCAGGTGGGTGGAGTTGATCACTTACAGCACGTATTGAGTAACGGCGTCAGTAACTGTCTCACGTGACAATACAACGGACGGCACTGACGGCATCCATATGCGATGCATTATCACGTCTTTGTAGCACAGGATACGAGGTGTCTTATTAAACCGGAAAACAAAACGAGCCCTTCTTCTAGACAAGGAAGGAGGCGAAGACACTCATAGAGTATGTTGTACAGGCAGCAGCAAAGACCAGCCACCTTGTTCCAGCATGTGTCTTACCACGGCGAGGCTCACTCGCGAAATGGCCTTGCAACCACCAGGGACTTATTCCCAGCTACACGAAGTCTTTAAAGCGATCACGCGGCGCAGAAAAACGACATCCAGTCTACAGTGTCGCCTTGGCCGCACTGGAGGCCACCCCCTGCGGCCCCCCACGACTGGTTTCGACAGGTGAGAGTGTTGAAGAGGAATCACGGCGGGGCACACAGCACTAAAGGGACCTTAAAAGTGCACGTGATCGAATTGGTTCTGAACATAAACAAACGTCCGTTGCTCAGACATCAAAGTGTCGCGGCGTGCATCCGAGGATGACATTGGATCTGATAACTCCACGTTCTTTCGGCATAAGAAACGCCACAGAATCGCACAAAATCGGCCCCGCCCTGGCAGCACGCCAACCTCATTCACGCGCGAAACTAGCAGGACCGTAGGCGTGCATGTGCATCTGCATAAAGTTGACAGCGGCGAATCACAGCAAAAAGCGGTGACCAGGGGAAGTCCAAAGCACCCAACATCCCCTCTCGACGACAGTCGTGCTGTGTGAGGATTTGTATTCTATTTCCAAGGGGAGTTTCGTCTGTGCTCTCGCCGTATGAAGCGCTCACGAGAGCCCGAAGAGTCGTCGCCGTCCTCACCACCATCATTAGGGCCGGACCTTGATATTGGCGACGAGACCTGCAGTGCTGCACAATTGAGGCCTGCGCCCTACTTGCATGGTGCTGAAGCGACCTTGGACCAGCCGCGTGCCAAGATCGTCGGGCTGTCACCAGACGACGAAAGCGACAACGACGACAGCATCATTGCTGGCGAAGGCCGCGAACAGGCCAGGTCGGCTGCCATGTCCTGCAGGCTGCACCGAGAACGCATGGACTTCCCGACGTACGGCACATACGAGGCGCATTATGCCAAGGAGCACCTCAATCGGTGCATCGAGTGCCGCCGGAACTTTCCGTCGCCGCTGTACCTCAGGCTACACGGCGACGAGTGGCACGATCCGTTTGTCGCTGTGAAGCGAGACAAAGGAGAACATACGGTGTGTCTCCTTAGACGTATCCTTTCATAAATCATGAAGAGCTGGAATTGTATCGCTAACATACACACAGTATGCATGCTTTGTCGAAGGCTGTGAGCGCAAGTGCGGCTCGTCCGATAAGCGGCGGCGACACTTGATCGACAAACACAGCTTCCCGCACAACTTTTTCTTCTCCATTACGCAATACGGCATCGACGGCCGCCAGTCGCTGCTCGTTGATGACGGGCGCCGGCAGCACCATCATCGGCGGCAGTCGTCGACGGGCACAGTCAATAAGAAGGACGTTGTGCGGCGCAGGGCGGCGGGTATCAACATGACCGGGACGGGGGCAGCTTCTCCATCGGCGGCCGCCCCAAACCCAGCCACAGGTGGCAATGAAGACGACGACGACGATAGTGATGACAAGGACGAGGGAAAGCCTCTGCCGAAGGGCCATGGCACTAAAGTGGCTGCAGAGCGAGACGGGCGGTTGCAAGGGGCGCCCAAGGAAATGCCCAAGGATATACCAGATGTTGATATGGAGGGTCTTACAGGCGCCATGTCTTCCATGACGTTTATCCCACGGAGTGTGAGGTTCGGCCGGGGCGGCAGGTCCGGCTTTGTGAGGCGATGATCGACGTAGGTGTCATGGTAGATGCATAAACGAAACCACATGATTTACGATGAAAACATTTCTTGGTTGGGATATCAATTTACCATTACCATTTTATCTTTTCCCGCATTCCCACGCCGTACACTATCATACAAAGGGGTTCTATCAAGCTCGAAATGAATTCATCATAAAAAGAGTAAAACACCAATACTGCCGAAAGGGCCCATAAAAACACAGAGAAAATAGAAACCAAAACCAAAACGCTCATGGTAGATGCTGTCATTAGAATCGCGCTGCCCACAATTGTATTCCGACGCGCCGTGTTTTCAATCCTCTTCTTCCTGCCCCTTAGTCACTTGAAGAGCATCCTCGGCAGCCGCAACTGACGCACTGAATGTCTTGGTCCTCCTTGAGCTGCGCCTTGGGCACGCGGCAGATACATGTCGAATTGAAGTTGGTCTCTTTTGTTTGGACGCACCGAAGGCAGCAGAGCTGGGTAGGTTAGTATGCGACCCTGGCCCTCCTTACTTGTTTCTGGCAAGGATGCAGACTCACCTTCTCGTAACCCTGCTTCTTCCACTTGGCAATCAACATGGCATCGGCGTAGCCGTTCTTCAACAACCAGTCGTACAGCTGCTTGCTGATGGCCTCCTTCTCGTAGTACAGCTCGTAGACGTAGCGGCTGCGCTGGTGCGAAATCTGGAAAATAGGCCACTGCGCCTGGTGCTTTGGCAGGCCATCGGTCGGGGTGGACTGTGCGTCCTTCATCTTGTTGGCAAAGATCAGCAAGTCGTCCTCGATGTCGTCGAAGCCATCTGGTGGCGGCTTGCGCTTCGAAGCATGTCGAATCGCGGGCATCGCAAGGTAGAAGCGCGGAGGAAAAAGTGTATTGTTGTATGGTCGGAGGTACGAAAGAGGCGGGAAGTCAATACGAAGGAGATTTTTGTCAGGCTGCGGCGGCGTGCAAGTATTGGCGTTGCGCTGGTCAAAAGCTCGTGATGTCGTGTGGGGTTAACGAAGCAAGGCTGGACCCGCCACGAAAAGGAATTGTGAAGGCAAACAGAGCAAGAGCATGTCGCCAACTTTCCTATTTTAGGTTAGTTTAAAAGCTGCTCTGCTTTGTCATCATTGCCACTGGCCTTGGCCAATCAGGCAAAAGACAATCCGGGGATAGAGACTTTCACGTGACCAATTTAGCGGGTACGAAATGAAGAGCAAAGCGAGCCGAGAATGGACGCCAGTTATGAGATATGAGACGAGAGACAATCTACTCATGACGGGACCCCGAAGTACCTCACCTCGCCATCGACGACTGCCAACGACCGCCCGGCGACTTATTTTCTTCTCCTGGTCCTGGAGAACGATACCAAGCTCCGCCTCGTCGGCCTCTGCACGCAATTGATATCTCGGCTCCCCTCCTCGACCTTTCCCCCTCTCGAGTTTCCGAAATGGCGATTCTCCCCACAGAGTTTGCGCGCGTCTCGCGGCAATGTGCGTCTTCCACTGGTTCGATTGATGCTGTCGCTGCGGCTCTGGTTTTTGGAAAAGCCTGTGAACTGACCATTATGCTCCGATGCAGCGGCGAACTGGGACGTGGCAAGGAAGAGAGTGCTTTCTGCATACAGAGAATGGCTCCGTGCTGTACGTACCCGAGAATGGCGGCAATGACGAGAGGGTATTTGTAGCGGACAGTATGGCGGACAGGACGCTGACACATTTAGGCCCCCGAGATCCAGACCATGTACTCGGTGCCGCTGCCGGTGTCAGCCTTACGGACACGGATCCGGCAGGAGTTTGAGCGGCACCGGTTTGTCAACAAGCTGCCGGTGGTGGATGTGCTGCTGTTCCAGAACAACGCCGACTACCAGGAGACGATGAACTTTTGGCGCCAGACGACCCATATCATGTCGTACTTCAAGGAGGAGTCGTTCAAGGAGGGCCCGAAGATCCCGTCGAGCTTCATGGAGGGCTTTCTGGAGGTAAGACAGACGATGCCGAGAGAACAGCAATTCGCTCAAAACGACAAAAATATGTGCCAGTGCTGACAGATCAGGGCCGCAACTAGAGTTGTTGCAAACGAGGCGGCGACACGTGTGCATGAGCGAGATGTGGTTGTGAACGGGGCAGGAGACGGCCTTTGCTAAGCCTCTCTTTTCTTTTTGTAAATAACAAAAGAGGCTGGATAGACAGGAGCGGATACATCTGACGAAATTTACAAAACATTTCACCACTGTGTACGAGAAATAGTCTGCGTGTCGAAAACGGCGCTCGTCCTGGCAATGGAGGTTACAAAACAGAAGAGAAGAAGGAATAGCCTCCATGATTGAAGATGTAAAATGATGAAAATAATAAATGACCGACTCCATACACAAGATAAACTCCCAAAATTCTGTTGCACCGCGCCGACCGCTGGCTGCTCGTGCTCTATAACCGTAGAGGCAGCCGGACTCGCCTTCTTTCACGCACCCAATCCCTATGCCTCGGTAGCCGCCATATACTGGTTCCGCGCGTCCCAGAACTTCTCGCCAACAACGTCGCAGAGGTCCTGCAGGTCACGCAAACCCTTTTCTAAGGCCTCAATCGCCGTGCCCTCTGAGAAAGCATGTGTTAATAGCAACTCGTCAGTCGTACATGCAGCGCAGCACAGCATCTTACCATAGGTCTGGATACGGATGTTCATCTTCGCCTCAGAGGGGTGAGGAATGGCGTACGCGCAGAACTCGACGTTGGGGCTGGGCAGCTTGTTAGCAAGCTGTGTTCAGTAGATAAAACAACAGGGAAATAGAGCTTTCGCGTCTTGGCCGGTGGGCTCATACTTCTTCATAATGACAAAACGCAGGGCATTGCCCATCGTGTGGTTCTCCTCGAGAAACTCAAACGAAGCGGCAGTTGGTGTTGATCCCGGCAGCTGCATCCTTATTAGTATATATATTCCACGCTCATGTCTCCTTTGTCATGCATCCTGTCTCGTACTCCTCCTCCCCGTTCGTCGTCTTTCAGATCCGGTTTGACATACCAGGCGTACTCTCTGTGTCTCCTCCTCCTCGTCTTCCTCGTCGTCGCCACCGTCCTCGGCAATCTCGGCGCCCTCCTCCTCAGCAGCAACCTCGTCCTGGGCCGCGGCCGGCGCATCGGCCATCTCGGCGTCCTCTGGCACCTCCTCGGCCGTCGGCTGCTTCCGTCGTGACCGTGTCGCCATTATGTATTTGTATGGTGTGCGGGTGGTGGATTATGTACGGACAGAGAGGGATGAAGGTCTTAGAGTTTGCGCTGTGTCGTGATTGATTGCGCGTGCTGAGCTTTGTCGTTTTCGTCGTTTGCTGACAATCGATACGATAAACTTTTTTTTTCTTTATGCAGCGGCGATAAACTTTTTCTTGGGACCCGTCAATGGGGGCCTGACGTAGCCGACGCTAATGCGGAGGCGTTTTGGTTCAGAGATAAGATTACAGCACGGCGAGGGCTAAGCTGAGCCGCCAGGGCAAAGCCATGCGCTGTATTTTCAGGAGGCTCCAGGGCAGAAGTAGTGAGGTTTATGTGTGCTGTTGCTGGATCTCAGCCTCGCAGCTTATTTCCACTACGTTGTACTGCAGTTGTTGCTTAGAACGGCAAGTTGACATCTGCACATCTGCACTCCTGTGTCTGTCCTTCACATCTGCTTCTCAATGCGCACCGGCAGTCCATCTGCGGCCGGCTCTGCCACCCTTTCGGCGGCCGCAAAGCCAACGATCAGACCAGGTCGCCGCCCACCGCTCGAGTGTGGGCAGTTCTCTGAATGGACGCCACCGTTAAGAGCTTCCTAAGCTTTGTTTGTATCCGTTTTCTTATGTTTTTCCTTTTGTCGACTTTGGCCGGTCGACCGGTCGCGTCGCGGTGCACTAAGATGGGGCATCTTCCATGTGCTCGACATAATATCAAGTCAGATGAAGTCCAGACGCTACAGTCGCATGCGGCTTGGTCTAAAAAGCATCGCGCTTATGCATCTGGTGGGTGCCGTTGGAAGAGGTCCCCCTTCAACAGGCATCCATCCAATAGGGAGCAAGAGCGCCGCGAGGCCAAGCGCCGAGGGTGATGTGATTGTCAGTTTTGCATCACTGGCCCACCACAATATTGGGTGACAAGAAAGAGATGGTGGGACGACGTGGGAACATCGGGATAAAGAAGGAGAAAACATAAGGCGCACAAAACGGAAGAAGGCTTTTGAGCGGCAGATGCCGTCCAAGTCGACGCAACTTCTTGTTACAAAAGAAAAGATTACGGTCAACATGGAAACCGTTGAATGTCGTCAAAAGGGCTAGGCATGTCCAAGTTGGGCGGTTTACGGCGCTTAGATGCAGCTGCAAGTTAAGAACGACGGTCTTGGGTGTGCGAGAGGTCCGTCGGCAATCATATGTCGTACGCTTCGTGTGGTGTCGAAGCTCAGACCACCATGAACGGATCTGCCACCGGGCTTTGATGTAGCAGACGCCGCCAACGACGGAGTACGGCGTAGATGTAAAGAAGGCCGGATGCCACAGAGGACTTACACCACATTGACGAAATCGTGCTCGTTCCTGTTGGTAATATTTCGTGTCTTTGTGCTCCCACGGACGTAATAAACGAAGGTGACCTGTAAGAAAGTATGTACATCGTAAGGTCAACGCCTTCCAATATTTTCTTCTCTTTTCATTAGTCTGCAGACAGCGCAGACTCGTGTTTGACTTTGGTGCCATGCTGTCACACCCAATATATGCAAAAGGACCATTTTCATGCGCGTTCGATGAGGTCAGGTGCACAAAACTATACTTTTTTTATTGCTGGGGTGAGCTCGGTGTCCATGCAATACAGGACGTGCAGGGAAGACAAAGACACATACTCCGTAGGAGAGAAAGCCAATGCAAACAAATGCAAGCTGCGGTCTCCTGTGGGAGTTGGCCAATACCGGTCATGGGGAGAAAACTTTCCAAGATGAAACACGCTGTCTGCGAAGAGTGCGTCCGGTAGTCCGGTAGCCAAGCATTCATATCTCAGGGGGCGAGGCAGTAATTTTTGGCATCCAGACGGCGCGGAATGCTCGACGTTGAAAACTGCAAAACGGAGTCATCGCCAGTATTACTTCCTTTTTCTTCTTTTCACTCTAAAAAACGGGACACGTCGAAAGTCAAAGGTGGTGTGAGGGGATACAAACACAAGACAGGGGTGCGTCAAAGGTGGGAGGGGAAAGGGGTTCTACCACGTTTCACAATGGAAGAGGCTTGTGCAGAAAACGTCCAAGTGGCAGACAGCCAAAAAATCTCAAGAAGAAGAAAAAAAAAACCCATACGGGATGGAACGGTGCAAATTTGCCTTGTCAGTGCACTGCAATGTTTTGATCTTTTCATCCGTAAGAGCGTTACTTACAAAGTACAACATAATTCGTTTATTTGAGTCAAAGCGCCCGTTTCGAATCGAGTGGACTACGCACTTCGTACGTCGTAGGCAAATGGGCTTGTCGAGTCAACTGCGGCGTCGCCGTTAATGTCTGTATTCCGTACTTCGTACGGAATATTCACTCCGTAGACATCCACACAGGTTGTCGAGCACAGTGCACCACGAAAGGACGCAAACAGCCGGTAGACGGTGGCTGTGGCAGTTCATCAGATGAAAGAGCCTGCGCGGAGTCGGGAGCCCACAGCGACTGAGAGACACTGCACGACGTCGCGGTCCGAAGAATGGTTATTATTAGAAAATGAACGGCCGGTCTGGAAGGTACACATTGTCTTTCCGAGAACACGCATCCAGCAATAATGGTTGTGGTTCTCCATTTGGGACTGTTTGTTAGCAGCCGGCTGAACGACGGGTCAGATATTGCTTTCCATTCTTCGGGTTGTTGCATTTTATCCCTTATCCCTTTTGTTCCCTTTGTGTTTTGCTGGTCTGTTTTGTCGATAGTTGGGTTTACGGCGCCTTCTCTTTATTTGCCACGCCAGTGTCACCGTGTCGTCCAGCCTAAACGCCCTCCAGGCCATTGTGCAGTGCGATAAATAATTTACATCGTATACCTGCTGAGGCGCAATGTGCGAAAAAGGAAAAGGTTTGATGCAAACCAACGCCATTCCGTCCTGACAATCACAATGCACCACCGTCCCGACGGTAAATATGAAGGGAACACCAACAATTAACAGCGACCATCGTCTACCGTAACGCTGAGATACAGAAACCAGAGCTTCGTCAAAAAGCAGACTTCCCTGCAGGCGATCCTAGAGGAGGAAAAGGCCAGCAGACCAGGATGCACCCAGGGTAACACGTCGATCAGCGAGATTCTGATACAAAGCGGCCACTTGGTCGAAACATTCGAGATTTGTGCAAGGGTGTGGCTCACGACTATTTACGCCGCACGGAGTATCGTTCTGCAAGATACGGAGGAGAAAACACACCGAGACACGACCTAGGGTGCGCTGGAGGAGGGTGGATAAGATTACCTGCGATTGACCCTCTGTTGCATCCAAGATCCCTGGAGCGGGAGAAAGAGATACGCAAAGCGAAGATTAAAACTAAAATAAGACAAACAAGCTCAACAACGGCGCCCATGAGTGGATCTGGAGACTGGAAGAGGGGCCTTTTCACAGCCTGGTCGCCTCTTTATCTTCGCCCGGTCTCGATGGGCCGTCTCGATGGGCTATCTAGGGAGTTTCGGCTTTCTGGGTCTGACGTTCAAGATGCTTGCACCGCCAGTCCCTTTAATTCGATAAGAGTATGTTTGGGGCCCCAGAGATGAAAAGGATCAAGTGGGCAAAAGAGCCAGACTCGACCATCGTCTGATGGCTGTCTCGTGGCCGTCTCCATGGCCGGGGTCCGATACGATGTGACATGGCAGACTGAGAGAAGGAGATATCCAGACGTATGAAAACGCGGGATGCATGGCGGCGAACAATAAAAAACACGGCATTGGCAAGCAACATACAACAAAGATCACAAACTACGGTTGGCCCTGCTCAGCACTTTGCATGTTGCATCATGCACCACCGTCCAGCACCATCGCAGTGATCTCACATCCTGTTGAAGGTCGTGCTCCGTTCTCGGAGACACGTACCAAGCTCCAAGTGTCTTGTTCGAAGAGCACGCCGAGAAGACATAAACAGCCTCGTTTGATCGTATTTTGAATTTTTTCGTGCAGGTCTCTTTCCTCCGTGGAGTTGTTTGAACAAGAACAAAAAAAGTACAAAGCGAAGAGAATCATTGCTCCGTAGAGAAAACGTGCAAGCTTTTGTTACAACGCCCCATAGTGTCCCAATAAAACTCCATAATATCGCTGGCACTACTGCACGGCCCAAGTACGTTCTTGGGGAACGGCGTGGTTTTGTGCTTTGTGTGCCCCTGGTTGAATGTCAGAAATAGGCAAGTCGCCTGACAATCTGCACGCTACTCAGTATTTGTTACAACGTAATTACTCCGTGCACGCAAGGCAGGGCTGTGGCGAGAAGACCACAAAAAGGCAATGAAATTGCTTCTCTTTTCTTTTCCAACCTTGTCCACTGTTTTCCCGCGGAGAAAATGGCCTTTGGGTCTAAGGAGGTAGCGACGAAAGGCAACGGTTCGCCTAGTTAGTAGCTTCTGTGGACGTCAACAGCGAAACATTAAGGATTGGGTAAGGTGAGGGCTATGTGTCCTTACAATATCGACACCTCACGATGGAACGGGGGACCCTTGTCGTGGGGTGGCTCTGTCTCTTTTATGCTCTGTGTCATGAAAAGAATACGATTATGCCGTGCAGGCACTGCAAGGAGTTGTCTTGTGTAGAGAGGCAGGGAGACCATAAGGCGTCGTGAGACAAAAAAAAAAAAAAAAAAAAAGAAAACTCCCTTTCTTCACCTTGGTAGTTAATAATAATCCACCACATGGCCCGCTCAGCTCAGGCCACACTCAATCTCACAACCAGAGGGCCCAGGCGATTTCGACATCGTACAAAGTAGACAGCCCGGACACGGCGTGCTGCGCCCATTGTCCACAAAGCCTCACCGTCGCTCCATTGTTCCTTGGTACGTCCTGTTTTCGAATCGAGAAATCCTGAGAATATCCTGGGTGGGCGCGCTCCACCCTGGGCTCGTCGCTGCACATCTGTTTCGCCATCGTGTAATACCACGAAACAAAGATTTCTGGAACGACGGTGGAGGTGGCTGCAAGGTGTTCCTCACTGCATGGCATAAAACGGAGACCTGCTACTGTAAGATACCAAAACGGTTGGATTTTTGAGCACTGGCCTTGCACGGCTTGGCTCGCCAGGATAATGTCGTCACATTGACGCAGATGCCTGCCTGCTCACGCATTCGCTTTTTGAATTACGGTGTGGCTGTGGCACCATGCAATATTGGTTTGTTCGTCGTCCCGAAATTTGTTTCCTCTCGGCATGCAACATTCAGATTTGTATGCGGACGATGCAGAGAGGGGAGCTCGGGAGCTCGCTGGTTGTTGTTTTCTACATGTGTGTAAGATACATGTTGGATCGTGTGGCACTTTGTATTTCTGCGCCGGTGGTAGCAAGTGGGCAGCGTTTCGAGCCATGAAAGGATCTCGTCAACGCCGTTCTGTCGAGTTTGCTTGAAAACCGCGTCATGAATACGGAGTAGAGTCGAGCAGAGAGTCGAATGGGGTCGTGGTGAGATGTTTAGTTTGGCTGCCGTTGGGCGCACTTCTGCACAAGAAAAAGCACACAAAAAGCAAGGAGTAGGAGAGAGGAGTCGCAGTCGTTTGAACCGCAAAAGTGAAGCCACAAAACCGAGTGACATAGCATCTCGGCAGGGGTTGTCCAATCAAAGCCCGCCCGCATAGCGCTCTTTGCCTGCGCGTGGTTAAGGCAAGGGGAACGTCGTTGTATTTGTATGCGTTGTGCCGTACGCCGTAAGCCCCGTCTGTTGTTTCCTTTCTGGTCCGTTTCTGTCCCCGTTTCCATATTCGTATGACCATGCGTACCTTCCTTGGCGAGTGTTCCTGCCGTTGCTGCTGAATTGGGCGTGGTGCTGGCACCTTTTCAGGGGCAGCGTAAAGGAGTGCAGAACACCGTTCCTGCTCTTTTGCCAAACAACCTGTCGTATTAATGGAAACGGAGTGCCGTTTTGCCCCTGCCTCAAAGTAAAACAACCTAACCACATAATAAAAGCGGAAGAAGGCAAAGAGGTGGCCCCGTCGCGGTTTCTCTTTACGGAAGAAGGTCGCTGAAGACTACCTTTGCGAACCAGCGTCCCTCTGCCGCCCCCGGCCCCTTCCCACTCCCCAAGGTTCTCGCACACCCCCTTCTTTTCCCTCCCTGTGCCCAAATTTCCCGACTTTTTCAAGTGCCACCCCTTCCAAATCTCTATTGTCCAATCACACTGCCCTCCCCCTTGCCCACTGTAACTCGCTAGTGCACCAGGCACACGAGGTAAAATCCGTGGTGGCATTCTCTCAGACGCCGGATTCGCAAGAACGAGGCTACTCGATAACGAGCAACGATCCAAACCAGGCCAAGAGGTGCCAAACGCGACCCAAGTGGCGACTTTGGTGAGTGAAACCGCGAAACATCGTGGGCCAAACAAAGTTAATGGAGCGAGTGCGACGCCGACAAATGCGGCTAGGCTCGACGACGTCCTTCTGTTTTGAATAAACGCCGCACATGCCTCAGATACCCAAAGAAAAAAAGCATTACAGAGTACGGAGTGTGTCAAGAGACGGATAATTTGGCAGGCAAGAACGAGCCGCTGCCACCCATCTCTCTTCGATTGGCCGCCGTCGCACCTTCCGCAAGCCCTCTCCGAGGCGCATCGGCACGAGCTGTTGTATATCGCATGTATGATGTATGGAGTAGATTGAACGACGGTTGCAAACAACCAAATGCTCCTTCCCCGTAATACACGCAATTCTTATTTGCTTGGCAAGCATCTCCAGGCAAGGGGAACGGAAAACAGGAAACCACAACTGCGCTCATGGCCAGAATACGGCAGGCGGAGGAGCACTGCGAACGCTGCCGTTTAGATACACTCACCCCCTTTTCTGCTCCTCCTGGCTCGCTCCTTCCCTTCAACCCCTTCCCCCCTACCCCCCTACCCTACCCCTTCCCTTGACACGCTTCCTTGAGATGCACTACCTCAACCACCACTGGATCCCCGAGCCAAGGTCTCACATTCGCATTTGTATCACTGTCGCTCACCCAGGTCCCCTCCTTTCATAATCGCCTTGGACCCTGCCTCCCTGCTTCGTTTTTGTCTGTTCGCACCTTCCTGCTTCCTGTACTCTTCCTTCGCTCTTCTATCCTTTTCTTCCCCGAGACGTTTTCTTTCTCTTCTCACGATCCTCCCTTTCTTCTTCCTTTTTCCTGCTCTTCTCTTTGTGTCTCATCGCTTTTTTTTCTGCATCTTTGTCACCATCTCACAATTTGGATCTTCGCCCCGAGTCACGTTTTCGCTTCCGTCTCCTGCAGCGCATATCTGCCCTCACTGTCGTTCCTGTCCATTTGATTACTTACTGTCCCTCGCTTCTGGCCTTCGAATCAGGTAAGCCTTCCTCGCCCCTCTCGATCGCGACTCTGCTCCTCCACCTGGCGAACGTTGCTCTCCGCCATCGTGACACTCCGCCATCGTGACAAGCTTTGTGTCTCTTCTTGTGTCCGTGTTTCTTGCACGCCAAGTGGACGTGGTCTGCTTGCCGCCAGCATAAGTCCAGAGCGATGTGAACTGACCGCATTGTCCCCCCCCATCTAGCATCAAGGGCCCGACTTACGCACGCACAAGCACTTTTCTTTCTTTTTTCCCCCACGACCAACCCAATATAATACTCGCCGCCTCATAGCGAGAATAAGAGACCGACACAGGCAAAGGATTGCACTTCGTATCAAATTAGCAACCGCAGTTTCGTCGTTGTGGCGCTTTGGCACTTTTGCAACTTTTGCAACATAACTTTCTCCTTTGCCTTCGCTTGTTATTGACCAACACCTACCGACATTCGCTCAAGTACCTAAACCGTCTAATTTCCCAACAACGACGACTGCGCTTTCAAAGTTCAATCAGCAGACAAAGTTCAAAAAAAGGACGCCGACATCCAAGGATTTCACTCTGGATTTGCTCTCGCTTCTCAATCCGATTTTCTTGATTTCTGCAACGTCGAAGCCGCACGAACCCTGTGCAAGCGCTTGCAAACCCACTTATCCAAAGCACCTTCAGCATCTACGAAAAAAAATAGAGCCCGTGGCCTTCATTACCCGCTTTCCCGCAGCCCGTCTCATTTCAGCATTTCAGCCAACCCCCCCTTTGGTCTGTTCCCTGACCGTGTTTCAAACGAAACCGCAGAAAACAGCAACCCTCAAAAAGAACGGAAGACAGAAGCGACTGAAACAAAAAAAAAAAAAAAAAAAAAAAAAAAAGAAGAAGTTTTGGGACTCTTTTGTTGCCGCATTCTGAACACAATCGAACAAAAGAACGCGAAAGCAGGAGAAGACGAAGAAACTCATTCAGGACCCTTCGGCTTCTCTTACCTGTCTTCTCAAAATCCGGGTTGGCGGCCGCACAACTAACTACTGCACAACACAATAAGGCGTGTCTCCACGACAAACGAGAACGGACATCCCTGAAGAGCTCAGTACGATTTCAGTGGAGCCATTTGTGCTTTTCGCGTCCGCCCCAGCTTCTCTGCAAGCGTGTACTCGGCTCGTATTCTCTGTGAATCTACGTCGTCTTTTTGGGCAGCCTTGTTCGCTCCACGATACTCTCACACCCTCACAATGAGTACCGCTATCGCCATGGCCCCGTCTCCGGCACCTCACGACCGAACAGCCTTCGGCAACGGCTCCTCGTCCGCAGCCAACGGCACAAACTCATCTGGAAGCACGTCTGCGTCCAACACAGAACTCTCGGCCGCTGCCGTCGCCGCTGTATCCTCGTCCCCAACAGCGCAGCGCACTTCGTCCACCAGCTCTACATCGGGTGCTCCGTTGCAGCGCATGGGCAGCCGCAGTCCTCGTGGCGCAGCACAGCCCTCGGCAAACAAGTCTTCACCTCCCAGCATGTACGTATTTTACTCTGTTCCCTTGCCCCCTTACTCTCTTCCGTTGCCATAGAGGCAAACAAACGGGATACGATTATATCGATCACTGACACGTTACCATCAGAACACGATCTGTTGCTCCGCCACCAAAGATCGTCGTGAAGAAAGAGCCTGGTTCCCCCGAACCCACTCCCAGACGCAGGCCTGGAAAGCTTGACCTCTCGAAAGGTGGCGCCACATCGACGACACCCGGCACCGGCCGCCCTCTCACAGCAAGGGACGGCCTGGGGATCCAGGAGGTGGGCCTTGCCTGCCTATCACCTGGATTTGTTACCCACGATCCTGCGATGAAGGAGCAATTGCAGCGTAGTATGACCGTTCGTGAGCAGCAGCGTCATATTATCGAAGCTCGGTTACAGCAGCAATCCGCCAAGGGCGACGGCACAATGGACACCTCCAACAAGGACAGCGCCAACCCTTTCGCCGCAAAGACACCCGGCATGTCCCGCCGAAACAAGGCTCCGCCAGGCCTCTCCATCGTTGCTCCCTCTCATGAGACCTTTGCACACGAGCGTGTCATCCAATCTGCACCGCTTGGCCAGACGTTCACCGGCATGCACAACCCACACCCTCTCACTCGCCACATTACAAACCAGCCGTCGAAGCTGTCCAACACCTCCCACATCCACCACGTTCCCGCCAACCAGACAAGTAACCGCCTGCCACCCATCGCCGACGTGTTCGGCCAAGGCCTCTCCGGCCACCCTGAGTCGAGTGGCCATGCCACCTACCTTCAGCAGAGCGGCCGCCCACCTCTCACTTCGCCCAGCCACCCTCCCCCAATGTCACACCCGCCGCTGCCACCACACGCACAGCAGCGGCAACAGGAGCAGTCGCAGCAGCAGCAGCAGCAGCAGCAGCCGCCACTGTCTGGCCGGCCAAGAGAATACCGCTCGGCGGAGGAGGCACAGGCCGAACTGGCAGGCGGCAGACCCGAGCTGCTGCCGAAGCTCGTGCACTATGGCGGTCACCAGCCGCCCACGCCACCCTCGCCGCAGCACGCTTATGCTTCGGCCTCGACGAGACCTGCAGAAGGTGGTACACGGAGTACGAGCAGAAGACGGACACGGGCCGAGTACGAAGACGGTGGAAGCCCGCCGCTTGGGACGGGCCGCCCCACCCAGCGCCGCGGTCCATTTGGCGAAGGCCGAGACAGCCCAGAGACCCAGCGGGCAAAACGCGACGAGTTCCTCAAACTCTGCGAGCGTGCGTGGGACCTCTTCCACTCATAAGCGTGTGGGCTACCTCGCGACATGTTATGCATACTGTGCTTCGGAAATTTTATACCTCTTCAGCGGTTTGCCTTCCTTTTGTGGTCAGCGTTGCACGCGTCATTCTGTTTTCGGATCTGCGCGTTTGAGGCGACACAATGGCACCTAAATCTTTCGCATTCAACTTGGTCTTATTCGTAAACTACTTTTACACTTTGGATGCCTTTTATATCCGAACACGATCTTTGGGACTTCGTTTTCTCACAACTTTATCTTCTACATCTGTCTTTTACTACCTTTTTGGCTACTTTTTTTTCTGTTCTTTTGGTTTACTGGGGACGATGGGCTCAGGATCATTTCATGTTCTTTTTTAACGTTGAGAAGTGGAAAGGGAACACTAATGTCTCGTGTATGTTTAAGTTGTGTGTGCCTTAATTGGTGGAAAACGGAGGGAAATGGCCTCTTCTGTGAATCGCTATTTGTTTTTCTCTCTCTTTGTGGTACGCTACGGTTGCTACGTGGATGAATGACTTTTTTTTTTTTTTGCAAAACGACAAACATTTTCTTATCAACAAATACTGTATTGGCTTTGTTTATCCTATCATCTCTGTGCCTTTTTCCTCAACTCTTGTCTTGTTTCGAACTGGCGAAATAATGGGTGGAAGGGCTTTTGTTTTCTTTTTCTTTTTTGGTCCGTAAACAGCTGTAGAGTGTCCTTCTTTAGCACAATTGTGATGCTCTGTACGCAAAATATATTTCATTTCAAATGTGATTAGATTCTAGTTTCAGTTTCAACATCCCACGGAACTTAAACAACCACCCGCCAATATTATAACCAGCCACTGTGACGACTTGGGATGTTTATTGTCCTTGACCATGGTGCACAATCTAAGCAAGCTACTACGGGAAGTTGTACATACTCGAAGACGATGGCAAGGACTCTAGGTTAACAGTTATAGACGGGCAAATCGGATTATTGAGGTCATTATTGAGATCATACCATTTGTATTTTGTATTGTTTCTCAAAGTGTAGGCCTCATACAGGTCACGCTTTCCAAAATGGAGGGGATAAGTTCCAAAAAAAAAAGGTCGGCCTGCTTTAAAAACAAGCCCTTGACAGATAACGCAAAAGCAAATGCAAAAGCAAAAATGTTAAAATCAAATCTCTTTGTTATGAGAGTGGACACCATAACGCCGCTGCTGTAATGGTACTTTGCGTAAACGTAAAACGACAGTCAAAACTGATAAAAGGAAAAAGAAAAGAATAAAAAGTGTAATAAAGAGCAAAAACGTCCGCCGAAACCAGGCTCATAGACCACTAATACAATAGAGATCGTTAAGAATAAGGAAAGAAGCTCAAAACAGAGAAAAGAGGGGGGAAAAGAACGTGTTTACAACGCTCGACATGAGGCGAGAAAGGGGATGTAACGAGAGCGAGTGACAAACAATCCTTCTCTTGGATCTTCAGAGATGGGTATGGCCATTTTTCGTTCTTTGACAGCATCCGGCACGTCTCCTTGACACTCTCTTCGACCGCCGCTCACCAGCCACCCATGTAAGACGTGCAAAGATCAGTGTTATAAGCCTTCCTCGCCGGCCTTGCACAGTTTGATCTCGCGGCCCCACTCCGACTTCAGCACCTGCGAAGCCGTAATGCGGCGGGTGGGATTGGGGTCAAGTATGGAGTAGATGACGTTACGGCACCGGGCCTATGCTTCATTAGTATTCGGCCCACTTTGACATAAAGTTTCTGAGGTGGAGAACACTTACACGATGGAGTGACTCGATTGGGCCATAGCCCTCTTCGTCGCGGCGGCCGTCAAGGTAGCGGGCGTAGAACTCGTCGTCGTCCTTCTTTGCGAGGCGCCACAGGTGCCGGCCGGTGCGCATGGCCATGTAGATGACACCGCAGGCCCACACGTCGACAGCACGAGCATCAAACTCTTTGTTGACGTACTCTTCCGGGGAGATGTAAGGGGCAGAGCCGCACAAGCCCGACACCATGTGCGCGTCACTTTCCCACGCCATACGAAAGCATTCCCCGTTTCCGAAATCGGTAATCTTTAGACCGCCGTGTGTTGTGAGGAGCAGGTTCTCCGGCTTCAAGTCGCGGTGGGCCACGCCCATCTCGTGCATGTACTCTACACCGCGCATCATCTGCTTAAAGAAACAGTCAGCTTCCTGCACCTCGAGCTTGCCTGCGGCAAGCACCAAGGTGTACAGGTCGCCACCCGCACAGAACTCCATGACCTCGCAGTAGTCGCCCTTTGAGTCCTTGAGTAGATCGAGCGTGTGAATGACATTGGGGTGGCGCAGGCTGGACGAAATACAGAACTCGGCCGTAAGGCGCTTGCTGTACTTCTTCTCGTTTTCCTCGGGCCGGCGCTTGAACTCCTTGACAGCGTACAGCTTCTCGCCCATGCCGTCAGCCAGCTTCTTGTGCGATATACGCACGACACCAAAGGCACCGCGACCAACAATCTCTTGGCACTTTCCGTATTTCTCAATGAGAGTCGATGCGGGTTGGACAGCACCAAGCTTTTTGTCGGCGCCCGCCTTTTTGTCGGCAGCAAGTGTGTCCTTCTCCTGCTTGAGGTTGTCGACCCAGCTGGACACGAGGGATAGATCGCCCTCGGGGTGCTCAGGCTTTTTGCCAAGAATCAAGCCACGGAACATATCCACCAACTTTTCCTGGCGCCGGCTGGACTTGAGGTGGTGCTCGTGGCCGCCCTGGAAGCTCGGGTCAACGACAAAGCGCTGGTACTGACCAGGGGTGCCCGATTTCGCTGCGGGCTTCGGCGGTGTCGTCGTGGGCCCTTTTTCATGGGCGATCTTTTCATGTGCGATCTTTTCGTGAGGCATCTTTTCTGTGGTAGAGCCCTTGCGAGATGGAGCTTGGGAACGCGTGACAGGTGACGCTGCACCGCTGTTTGGAGTGCTCGATGCTTGTGCTGAACCGTTGGTGCTTGAGGCAGACAGGCCAGGGTTGTCTTTGGCGAGCTGCAGTAGGGCTTGTTGGTGCTGTATCGCATCAAGCGACTGTTTTGACTGGGACTGTGGAGCGGGCGACTGGGTTTGTGACGGGCGTGCAGATTCTGATGCTTGTGCTTGCAGCTGTGCGGGGAGTTGCAGAGACTGGACTGGTTGCGACGACTGTGTAGGTTGCGAGGACGGCGAGGCTTGCGTCTGCTGTGCCTGTTGTTTCCGCTGGTTGGCGGGGTTGCTTGGATCGAGGCTCACGAGCGAGCGCTGCGAGAACATGCGCGTGATACGGTCCTTCACAGATGCCTTTTCGGCGGGTTTAGCTGGTTGCAGATGGGCTTCTGATGGAGCGGCAATACCATTTGGTTGAGGAGCAAGATTCGGCGACCGGTTCGGCGGGAGTTCCACGGATTTGATGGAGGAGGAGTGCGAGCGTTGCGAGGGTGTTGCGCCCTTCGTCTCGGCGGGAGTGGTAGCCATGACGTATAGAGCGGCCGGTGGATCGCAGGGAAGGTGGTAGAGTGGTAGGGTATCGCACCGCCGTTGACAGGTGAGAAATTGAAGGATGTCAGGCGGTTGTCGAAAAATGCGTGCCGGAAGAATAGAGCTGTACAAGGCGCCCCAATGTTGAGGGTCGAGGCAGCCTTTCTTTATGAGTCGTCCGAATTCTAGGAAGACGAAATGCGCTCAGTACAACGGCGCTCGTCGAGTGGTCGTGACAAAGGATATATATGCGGTGGTTGCGACTGTGGCGTACGAGTTGCTGTCAAAGGCGGATCGCAATATTTAACTTGTGACAAAAGTAGTACTTTTGGGTTGCCGTATACGTTTACTGACAAAACCCTTTTTTTGTGGGCATCTCTTCTTGGCCCGTCAATAGTATTTTGCCTCCAAATGGAAATGGCTGGCTGCGCCAGAAACACAATAGGTGATGTGGTTTTGGGTAACCCCGAATACAAGGGGCAAAGAAACAGAGGGGGAAATAGGCCTTATCCAGCAAGAGACTTTATTTGCGGGCGCACAGCGCGCGTGTTGAAGCCAGACTTAGTGTGCAAGTCTTCGAGGGAAGAGGAACTCTGTGGAATAGGTCAGAGACGGTTGGATCACGGCTTGTAACGGGAATGCAAGGCCAGCCGGTAAAAAAAACGGGGACTGGGGCGCTAGAGAGAAGGAGGCAAAAAGGAACGGGAAACGAGGAGAGGCAGGCGCAGGAGGGGGTAGAGGCGTGATAATTTTGGTAGGATAGGTTTTGGTGGTTGTAAAGGGCACAGTTGGGGGGAGTTGAGCGTTGGGAGTAGCGCGAGGGGGGGCGAAATTTAGTATTTGTTAGAGGCCAATGACCCGAAGAAGTGGCGGTTGTTGGCGGCCGATGACAGTCATGGTGGACGAAATGTAGGGCCGACGAAAAGAGGCAGAGAAATGATTATTGGCTGTAGCCGGTAATGGTGATGCGATGGGAGAGAATTGAATAAGCTAGCGGACAGAGGATGTATGGAAATGAGAAGCAACAAGGGCTCGTGTGCGTGCGATATATGGAAATGATGAGAGGCAGAGTGACAAAAGTCAAGAGGAGCAAATGAAGTAGAGGGACGCGGTGGGTGCAAATTGATTATGGATAAGGCTTGGCGAAAGGGCACTGCGGCTTTATATGTAGAAAGGCCGTAAAGCTGGGAAGAGCAGGCTGACAAAGACGACCGGCTGTGGGCTGTGCAAGGTTACAGACAGTGGACAGGCGGAAAACGTAGTGAAAGAAAAGCGGCGAACGCGATGGCAACGACGGAAGAAAGCGTCGAAATAAGAACCACCATCATCTAGCAATGTCGAAACAGTGCCCGTTGGATTCAATAGTCGTCGTCGGCTGAAAGCGGAAGCGAGTCAGGGTAGAGGGAAGCGTTGTGTTGTGTATATCGGACAGCGAAGAAAAGAAGAACAAGTTGACAACGGAAAATAAAGACGGGGAGGGAAAAGGAGGTTGAGAGAAATGGAGAGGAAATGGAATTGGGGCACGGAATGGGCAAGGGCAGGAGGCGGAAGGGACAATGCGCGTGGGCAAGGAAGGCACGATTTGGAAACTCCTGAGAGTTGAAAAACAAATACGGGAACGGCAGGAACCACAGAGGAGGGTGGCCGGCAGATGGCAAGAACGAAGTGCCAAGCCCCGTGCTAGTTGGAGTCGACCTACCTACGAGCGGGTTATGGCGCGGTGGACGGCGAACCGTCCGGGGAACCACTGTACTACCGATGCGGTATATATTGTGGTGCAGTGGTGTCGTATTGTAGTGGTGACGTGGTGACTGTGGTGTGGTTTGCAAATCGCCGTAGTCCTGTGTCGGGAAGCGGAAGATGTTTCCTGTGCAGCGCGACGACTGTAGCTGACCAGTTTGGGGGGGGGGTCGAGAGGGGCGTGTGCGTTGGACCTCTGGGGCAGGAAGGTACGAAAAGAGGAAAGAGAAGGGGTACGTAAAGGGGGGAGAAAAAAATGGCAATCCAAAGAGGTGATCAAGAGGGAAAGTGCGAGGCAAGTGGTGGTGTTACTGGCTGCAGAAACGAGAAGGAGAAGCCGTATGGTGAGCAGTCGCGATTGGCTTGGCCGGCTCCGGTTGCGGTTGCGGTTGCGGTTGCAGTTGCAGTTGCAGTTGCAGTTTGCGGTTCTGTTGCTGCAAGGAGCAAGGCAGAGAAGGAAGGAAGGTCTTGCCAGCAGCAACAAAAGAGAAGAACAGGAAGGAGAGGGACGGAAGTGGGAGGAAGGAGGTTGAAGAAGAAACAAAGGAAAGAGCTGAGGAATGTGGAAGTGCAACTTGGCAGCCACGGCGATCAAAGCAAAACGACGAAAAGGCGAAAAGGCGGCGGAAAAGGCAGGAAAGCGACAAAAATAAAGACAGAAAGTGTGCAAGAAGAGATGGGACGAAACGAGACTAACAAGACTAGTGAGGGTGAGAGGGAGCAAGCACCCTGAAGTGTAAATGTTTAAACAAAACGCGAGGTCGCAAAATTTCAACGTACGCACTGGGAGAAAGCGGGCAAGCGCTGATGGGTGATTTGGGGGGGGAACGAGGGGGTGCCGATTGGCATTTTCGTGCTGAGCTAGACGGAATAGTTTTGCGCGCGGGTTAGGGTCTTGTCTCCTCAGGCAAGAACGCAGACGACGCAGACGTCTCTTTCATGTGGTGGTAACTTGGCTCGTTTGTCCAACTCAGCGGGCTATTTTATTTGGTGGCCGGAGGAGCGCTCCTCTTTCGCCTTTTTCTACTCGGGAGTCATTACGGGTATTTCAACAGGCAAACACAGAGCAGCGTATAGAAGATCCTGCTTTTTTTTATTCTTAAAATGGCCCATCTTCGGTAGTGGATTTACGTGCAGAAGCTGTTCAGATACAAGGGCAGGGGCTCAGGGCCAATACCAAAGGAGTGTTTTACAGCGGATTCCCAGTTACGGTTACTTGTTACTTTTTTGCTCCAGTTTCCTGAATCTTGACGACTTGTACACTGCACTTTCCCTTCTGGACAGTTCATCCTGCAACAATCGAGCCTGTGGCAGTTGTCCCGGCTCAAGAACAACCGTGACAAGAACACACCCACGACACCCTCCAGACCTTACAGCGTGTGTGCTGGGCGATGGCAGTCACTTGAGTGGGTGGGAGGCAATAAGAAAGAAAGAGAGAGGAGGGGATAGGGCGTTCTTCGCTCTGGCGGTTTTCTCGATGACAAATTGCGCCAAGCAGTAAATGGCTCACGGGCGTCGCCTCCCACTGCGCGAAATGGGCTTACAAGTCTCCGTGACTGGCATTGGTTTTATTTTATTTTGGTCCGTTTTTTTTTTTTTTTTTTTTTTTTTTTTTTTTTGTCTCCCGTACTAAGGTTTGCCGTTGGCCAAAGTCGGTACTCATCATGTGCGTGGGAACATGCAGCGTAACAAGAAGCACATTACTTGCTCCAGCCAGGCTAGATCAGGGTAGGTGCGGTGGTGTCTTTCAAGCATGACGTGCGTGCGCTGCGCCAGGAATTTCCAAATATTAGTAATGCAAGCAAATGGCCCGCCGTCAGAGAAGACCAAAGGGGTTAAGTATCCTGATGGGGCCTCGAATACGGCCGACATGCGCCAGCGCGCCGGACGAACGATATATCACAGTTTCCATACTCGCTCTGTAGGGCAGGACCGAAGCTTCCCATGCCAATTTTTCAAGTAAAAAACGATAAAACGATAAATTCAATAGCATCAACGGAGACGTAAACTAGCACAATGGACAAAAAATCGACAAGAGGCAGAAAGAGCCACAGCAAACGTTCAGGGATACCTGCACCGGCAGCACAGCCAGACAGCGCAATACATGCTACCTGTACCTCTACAATTTACAGCAACTTGGCTTGGCGGCCCAAGGAGGAAGGCGGAGGAGCTAAAACGGGAGGGAGCCTGCCCGTGAACAAAAAGCCAAGACCTCACCGTTCGACGTCCTCACTGCACCTTGCTGCAGCTCTGCAGTTGCGACCTCTCCCATTGCGGACACGAAAAGCAGGAGCGAACCGCGGCAACTTGGCTCCCTGATCCTCGCTAGGGCTGTTCCGGTTGCGTAGAGTCGTCAGATGTCGGAATCCACCTGCTGTGCGTCGTATATGGCGAGGCCTTCGTATCAGTATGAGACAGAGCTCGCTCTAGAACACCATTGCATTTATCTGGCACTGCACTTGCCTCTTGCCTCCCTCCACCCCCAAATGCGCTTTCATAGGCCGACGCGGTCCTGCATGTCAAAACTCCAGCATATGTTCTGCCCTCCTCTCCTCTGTCCTTTGCGTCCAATCTCACGAATACCCCGTCGGTTCCCACACTCCTCGACCTTTGTCTTTTCGCATCTTCTCTGCCGTTCTCGCTTTGTATCTCTTCTCGTCAACCGTTTATTCTGGTCGTTTTGCCACCCTCGCGTTCTCCCCTGATATGCCGAGACGAAGCCTCAATGACACGGAGAACCTGGCAGGATTGGCGTAGCCGTTAAGGGGCCCTTGTTTTTGCGGGGAACCGCCAACGGCAATCGACAGAGGAGAAGAGCTAACGGTAGGGAAGGCTGTTGAGGATGCGGGCAGCTTTGCTATCCGGGCTCCGGGCTGTCGTGTAGACAGAATTGATGCTCTCACTGATTCAAGACACGTCCTGTTCTCGCATCGTCCGTTCTGTGGTCTCCTTTGGATTGGCGTCCCATGCCAATCTGGCTCTGGTTTTTCTTCTTCTGTTTCCCGATTCTGCCTCATTTCGGCTACTTCCCACTTCCTTGATTTTTTTTGATTTTTTTTTCGATATGACAATTGTCTCCGTTACCCCTTTTTGTTTCCGCTTTGTATTCCCAACAACACCTGATAATGCTACTTTGTACACGTTGTTCATGCAGCCTCTGGGCTGCCCTTTGCCTTCTTTTGTGTCGAGGCTTGCTCACTCTGCTTGGGCCTGTCTTGTTT